TGCTATTCAACCTTGTGCTAACCACACAAGGGGTGACAATTTAGAAAACAGGATCGTCCTGGAGTCCGAGCCCCAGTTCCAGTACAGAAAGATCACTAATACAATAAAATCGGCAGGTGAACCACTGGCCACTTGCTAGGCCTCTGCTGGCCACACTTAGCCCGCTGGCAGCCAGTTGAATAACCCTCATCATCATCATGTAGCAGGTCCTTTGCAGAACATCGCTCTCATCACTGTCTGCCTAAAAGAAACTCGGTCTCTTGCTAGCTCTCCCGCCTCATGTACATTCATAGTCAAGGAGTCACTTATATCCTGTGCCCATCTTCGTGTTGGTCGGCCCCTGCCCCTCCTTCCTGGTACCATGCCTTCTGCTATTTTTTCCCCAATTCGTTGTAGCGCATGATATGACCAAAATATTTCAGCTTCAGACAGGATGCTGTTTATTAGCCAATCTTCCTTGATATTCAGATCTTTCAAGATTTTAATATTTCTCCTCTTCTTTGTCTAAGATATTCAGAGAATCTTTCTATAGCATTTCAGCTCAAAAAGCCCTATTCTCTGTCTTAAGGACTGGGAAACAGTCCACGACTCACATCCGTATGTTGTTACAGGGAAGATGCATGCTCTCAAAATTATAATTTTGATCTCCTTGAGACTTTTAAGGCTGTTGAATAACCTTACTGTAGAGTAATTTGAAGCCTGGAGAGTAACTGTCGTATTCTTTTAGTAGTAATACAAGTATTTCCCAACATAGGTACTTTGTCGTGGGTTTCTATGGCTACGTCAGCCATACTGAGAAAAGGGGAGGGTCGGGTGCGCTGGAGTAAACAGGCTTGGATTTGACAGGGATCTTTTTGCCCGACCACGACTGTGGTTCGAAATCACATAAAAATACTGAGATATTTATTTTCAGGTTTCAATGAATTTTGCATGCTTCAAACTCTTGACATTAGCTGAAAAAATATTTATGATATAATTTGAATCCCCGAAGGTATGGGTTTTTACAAAAAATTAGAACCTCGTAATATAAAGCTGAAAATCTACATGTCTGCCTGCCTGTCTGTCTGTCACAGGAAATTCTCCCAACCATACTGTAGATATTTAGGAGATGGTGGGTGGGGTAAAAGGTGGGAGGTGGGGGTGGGGGGGGGGGTTGAAAAGGCCAGATGGCGGTAAGAATCTCGGGTGCACCAACGTGGGAGCCAAGATAGCGTGTATATACATATATTTTAAACGTTTATGGGTGAAAACATGGTTTATAATATTTAGTATACATTTTTAAAAGCAAACATAATAATTTGGTAAAACATGATGATGACTGATACCTTCATTCCACTTTGGAAGGGAGTACAAAGGGGGAGGCAGAAAAGGGCAGGAGCGAGGAAAGGAGGGGCCATTCATAATGTTGCTAGTTGTGTTGGTATCCTGACAATTCCCGCTGCTGCTACTGCTAATGATATGTGACATCATATACACATTTGATAATTACATAGCATGTCAACAAACATTAGAATAATTACAAGTAGGGATGATGTTGCATGGTAAACATAAACTCTCATTTCACCAACATGTGACAGATAGGAGGAGAACGGGAGGCAGAAAAGGACCAGGGAGAGGAGGCGGAAAGGAGGGCTGCCATTCATACGTTGTTAGGGAAATGTTCAAAACCCACCAAAATCCCGGTTCAAAATATAGCAATTGTTGATCGTTGTTTGGTATTATAACAGACTAACTGGTTCAAAGTATAAGCATTGTCCCATGCATGACTTGTAAATAACGTGATACATGAAGTGACTTGACTCGCGACTCCACTTAAAAGTATTCTTGGTGACTTGAGACTTGACTTAGGACTTGATGTCAATGACCTGGCCTCGACTTCGACTTGAAGGTTGACGACATAGTCCAACCTCAGCCACAAAGTGTCCCTTACAGTAGCCTGAAAAAAAAAATGATACCACAAAAAAGTCCCGGTACTGCGTACCGTTGCATTTTGCTAAGAAAAAATGCTGTGATTAATATATACCCTCAAAAGGATGGCTGTCTTTTTCTGATATTTGTGATAAGCTGTCTTCCAGCCTTAGCCTCTTTCAAAATATCTGGGTTGCTATTTTTGGCTGTTCAAGAAATTCTAAGTATTCCTCTGTAAAATCACGTCTCTGAGGCCTCACGAAATTGCTCTCTTTATTTATTTGTTGTGCAGGTTTACGGCAATATGTTAACATTGGCTCCGTAAAGCGTGCGATAATTATTTTCCTAACCTCCGAGGGCATGGATTCATTCACATAATGTTTATTTTATAAAATACATTTTGGTCTTTCCTATTCTGTTCATTATCTCTGTGATATCTCTGATGTTGTCCAAGTGTCTAGATCTTTAAATGTATAGACTTGTCCTAAAGTAACGCCTTTGAATTTAATTTTCTAATTAAGCACTATTCTTTTCTTTGATTTTACCAGTATTTCTGTCTTCGCATTATTCAAGCTTAGGCTCATTTTTTTCACAACAGCATCCATCAATACCTGTAGTTCTTTCAGACTTATCAAGACAGTGTCACCAGCATAGCGTAGGTTGTTGATGTTTTCACCACCAACAATGTCCTGAAACATTCATAAAATTGGTTGTTAGTTCTTATAGCTGCTGTTTGCTGCCAGTACATGCTCTCTATATTCCGTAAATCTTGTCCATCAATGTTTAATTTTCTAGTAGTTTGATTATTTCTTCGTGTTTCACACAATATTATATATGTTAATCAAATTTTTAAAAAAAAAAGGTATTCATATCATCCTGTCCATCTACATAAATTATTATGTCATTTTGGAATACTGATTTCTTCTGTGATTATGTGTATTTTTAAAGGTAAAGCCGGGAGATGTGAACCAACGTCATTGCATACGATTATAAACCATAAGTGCTCTGCCACCAGTACGGACAGCTGATAAGAAACTGTCCGCCTGTGTCGCCGCCCGCACGCAACTCCGTAGCTACAGCGACGTTCCTCCATTTATTATGGAGTGTTAACTCTGGTTTCCATTTCCTAGAGGCTGGGTATCAGCCAGGATTAGAACACCGGCCGTGGACTGCAGCGAGTCGCAGCTGGATTTGAAAGTCCCTTCCAGCAAAACAGCAAATGATTAATAGCATCTGTATCCCTATTTTATGTTATCAGTGCTAGACATGGACAATGAATAGGACACTAGAACAGAAAATAGCCACAAGGTCACTAACAACACTAGACGAGCTAGGGCTACAAAAACCAGCATGAGAGAGAAAGATGGAATTAGACCATGTCTGGATTATACTGACAGAGAAAGAATGAAATGGTTTAGCCCTCTAGTGAGAATGCATACGAGACTTTTTACAGAAGACCATGTTGGAGAAAGGCAAGAGGAAGACCAAGAAAGAATGGATAAATGGTGTAGCTGAAACCTGAAATAAAAAAACCGACCAAATCCATCACTCAAGCCACCCGAAAAGCGAAAGACAAACACAGGAAACCACGACACTAGGTTGCAACCTGGTATCAGTAAGACGACAAAAGAAGAAAATTAAATCTTGCCATGCATATAGGCACAATTTTTTAAAGCCTTGTACCATAGATAGATGGATGCGTTTTCTTAAAATAATAATTAATAGAAGACTTATTGAAAACAGCTGATAGGCAAAGTGGCGAACCTGTGCGACGATGCTGGCGGAAGTAGAAGTTGATTGGTCGGGAGCTGTGGTAATTTAGTTTTGAATCGAAAGTAAAGCCATCTTCTTGTGGCAGGTTATAATAACTGTGAAAGTTAATTTCACGTGTACAACCATGGCAGAATCAGCAGTCGAATCGGTGAAATTAGCAGCCAACAATGTTACAAAGAGGTATATATAATATATGAAAGCGTGTTTGTTTTCAGTTTCAGTTTTTATGTTTTCAGAGATTTCCTTGTTGAGGAAAGTAAAGTAAAGTTACATACTTTTTTGGGCATTGAATTGCTTCAAATTCCAGCGGAAAGTTCTGATTGTTCATCAATTTATTCACTTCCGACTTTTATTGTTGTTAGTTTTAAAACTTGAGTAATGTTTTGTATTGTGGACATCTGTTTTAAACTTTTATAGATCTGATCTGTAGGCAGACAGTTAACTTGGTTGGTTCCTCACCTCTTAGACCTAGATGCACTCAGACTTCAAAGAAGGAAACACCCTAATACTAATAACCGAATTAGTTCACTTTTACAACATGATTGTTAACTCTTTTAGTCCCAGGGGGTTTAGCATCACAGCCACAGGGGGTAGTAAAGAAATTAATAAAATCAGCGCAACATGCGTTCATTGGGCTTCTAGGTAGGAACCTGTGAACGTATGATGCGCTCCTTGGGACTCAAAAGAGTTAAATATGGGCAGGGGGTCTATTATTTTCTGCTAAAGAAAATGTCCCTAGAATTCGCACAGGGAGAGTTTACAGATGAACAGGTAAGACAGCACCCAAACCACACATGCAGTTGTGTGGATTTTTATGTAAATAACTTTACATCTATGTGATATTAAAGTCTACAAATTAAATACTCACAGCATGTATTGCTTGGATCTGATCCATAAATTTCCTGTTAAATCATATGAAAATGATGCAAAAAAAAATATCTTTTCTTTCAATAGGCTCCAAAAAGAACTTCGGACACTAATGGTGAGTTTGTATATAAATGTTTTTAGCCTTTGAAAGAAAATGCATGTGCTGATGTAGTTCAGTAGGTAATAAAATTAAAACAAATTATACGAAAGTGAAAATGTTCAGTGCTGGGATAGCTAGTCTCCCCTTACCATCACCACACGTACAGCACAATACAATCCCAGTCAACACAAAGATACATCTTATACAAAGCACAGTGTCAGATATAGTCACCCACAGTAAACTGGACAAGGAAATTAGTAACAGTGGACATGCGATGTCTAAAAAAAAAAAAGACTTTAGGAATCACCAGAGCAGATTAAATTAGGAATGAAGTCGTCAGAGAAAAAAGCTGGCATAGAACAAGTTCTAAATTTCATTCTAAGACAGCTACTGCAATGGTTTGCCCACTTAGAGACACTACATTGTGACATCATACCACACAAGGCTTACACTAAAAGAGAGGGACCTAGAGCATGAAGGCAGCCAGAAGAGCAAGAACCAAAACCATATATTTCCATTAACACCTGCAGTGGACTATGAGGAAGTGGAGCAGAGAAGAAAATATGCATTTGTCTGTCAGTGACCTAAGTGCTCATGATGTATCTATCTTCTTGACTTCCTCTTTTAATGCTTCAAGTGTCGAGAGATCCAAGGTTCTGCTTCTGGCCGCACTGGCCATAGACATGTTGTTCTGTTGTAGAGTTTCTCAGATGCAAATATATTTTGTTAGTCTTTATCCATGGATGTAAGATGTTGGGACACTGCAGACAGATAGTTGTCTAAATATATTCTTTGGGTCCATACAAGTTTCCTTTTATGTTTTTAATAAGTGCAAATATCAAACTGGTGCATACTTGAAGCATTCTGATTGGTCATAGTTTCTACAAAGGGGCCTGTTTCTTAAAGTACTAGCTGTACCCGGCCACGCGTTGCTGTGGCCCAGAATAGTGAAATGGAGAGGAAAGAAAATAGCTCTCAGTTAACAGTGTCTGTCATATCCACACCACCATCCCCCCAATTCCCCCCTCCTCTTCCCTCGACCCAGTCATATCTCCATCTCCGAAGGATTGAAAAATCATCCATGGCGAAATTATTAAAATAGAAATAGTTGAGAAATGAGAACTTCAAAATAATATTTTAAGCTCTCTTAGCTAACTGTGTCTGGCATAACACACCCCCCCCCCCCCCCCCCCCCCCCCCAAATCATATCATCCTCTCCGAAGGATGGGAAAGTCACCATGTGACAAAATATTGTAACTAAAATGAGCTTGGCATCCGTGTCCACCCAGACTTAAATAGTTGGCATTAACTTGTACTGAGAAGTAAATGTGACCACATCACCCATCCAGTACCGGTACTACTGCAACCACTACCACCATCACAACAACAACTGTCACTACAGTCTGTAGGTCAGTGTAGAAAAGAGGAGTTAGCTAGCGCCGCATGCTGTCGCCACAGACTATTTAGTTTAAATTTTGTCTTCCCCCCCCCCCCCCTCCCCCGACATAGAAAAAAAAACTTCGTCGTGTAGCCAGTGTAAAAACCCAAAGTAAAAAGTAACTATACTCACGAATAGCGGGGAAAAAATACCCCTCACCTGTCATCTCTCCCTCTCAGAAGGAACGATTTTTAACTGACCTTGGCATCCGTATCCACCCAAACTAAGTTGGACTGAAAGCCGTCTTAGTTAACAGTTTCTGTCATCGCCGAATAATTTTTGATCGAGAAGCGTCGCAGGGAAGCTAACTGGGACTTAACTGAAATCGGATGTCTTTGGGCGAAAGGCGCAGATATCGCAGGCTAGCTGTAAACCACAACACAACGTGGCAATCACCCTTTTAAGGGAAAAAGAACAATTATTACCCAGCGGGGAATCGAACACCGGTCACCCGCGTGAAGGATGGAATACTTACAACTGTACTACTGAAGAGTTTAGGTCAGATATCGCAGCCTAGCTGTAAACTACAACACAACGTGCCAACGGCCCTTTCGAGGGCAAACGAAGATTACCCATGAAATGACCATTGAGCATAATTTTGCCACTGTCGCAGGCTAGCTGTAAACCCCAAAACCGAAAAAAGTCGTAGATATCGCAGCCTAGCCATAAACCACAACACAGCGTGCCAGCCGCTCAGTTAAGGGCTAAAAATAAAATTATATCGCCCAGCGGGAAATTGAACACGGGTCACCCGCATGATAGGCAGAATAGTTACAACTACGCTACCAAACACTCAAGCAGATAGTGGAAATGAAATAATATAGTAATGCAAAGTTCGAAAAGGGCTCAGCAGTCAAAAATGGCCAATCAATTAAAAACAAATCTGGGCCGGCAACGGAAAAAAATGATTTGACCGTTGCTGGAGCTACATCGTTCGTGGTTTGTGCAATTTTCTGACAAAAAATCACACTTTAAGTCAAAGGCAGCGTTGTGTGAAAATTTGAAAACAATCGGTTCAGTAGTTTCCGAGTCTATAGTTAACAAACTCGGAAAATTAACATTTTTATTAATATAGATTTTTGGCATACACGAATTTGTGTTGTCAGTGTTGGTTTTAGTTGTGTATTCTTTGGATTCTCAAGTGTCTACTTTATTGGAGTTAAGATCAGCCAAACCTTCAACATGGCCTGCATCCACTGAGTTTTTTTAGCACCAAAGTAACCACTCCATCCAGACTTTGTTGTAGAGCTCTAATTGACTTTTTCCAGAAACCAGTGGGGAGTTAAAGACCAGTACTGAAATGCGAGTCCGACTCGTAAACCAGCATACCGCGATCGAAACCCACTGCAGGCTGCATGGATTTTTGTCGTGGTATGGGACGTCGCAGGTCGACCCAGCCTAAATTGGGTACCAGGATGGGCTGTCCTGGGAAAGTAAAGACAGCCGGCGTAATGCTGACCACATTACCCACAGAGTGCTGATGGTCTGTAAAAATATGGGACGCTCTGCCCATATGCCCGAGGCGCCGAAAGGCGTGAAAAGGGATCTTTACTTTACTGGAATTTCATACCTATGGATAAAGATCTAACTACTTTAGGATTAGGCTTAGGTTGGAAGTGAGTGTTTTCTTCACAATTTCAGGTATTTTACTGTCAACAGACTATATATATCTGCGAGATCTGTAAAGTAGAAAGGCTGAAGAAAAGTCTTTCTACAGAAGTAGATATATATGGTTTCTTTTAAAACTACATAGAACAGCATATATTGGCAGAAAAAGATGACAGCCTTTAGGAAGCAGATAAAAACTGCAGATTGGTTACAGAAATGGGATGTGCAAGAGAGTCCAGATTTTTTGGCAGGTTTTATTTATTTAAAAGAAAACCCCTGTAAAACGGGTGAAATTTTAGGTGAGAAAAGAGTGCAGACAAAATGAAGTGATCATTATGATGTATTTTTTTGTTCTAATGGTGTGTCAGATTGATTATTGTTCTTGGAGTGTTTTTCATTTGTCTACTATCGGGCTTTTTACCTTTTTTTTTTTTTTTTTAAATAATTGTATTTTTGCTGAGCAGATGTCTGGGAGTCATGGGATATCTGCATTTCCAGAAGGTGACAACATGTTCAGATGGATTGGAACCATTGAAGGAGCCAGTGGAACTGTGAGTGGCGATGGTTCTTTTAGTTTGTTGTGCTGCTAAACAAATCAGCCAGGTGGATCTCTGAATCTTTTAACTCTCTCACTTTGTAAACTGATTGCAATTTCCCCCAACTTGATGTTAGCTACCACACTTTTATTGCTCTCTACCCTTTCTTCTTCACGTCCTCTTTTACCACTTCGGGTGTTGAGGGAGATACAAGGTCCTGCTTCGACCATAGACACATTGTAGTGCTGTAGAGTTGCTCTGATGTTATCTTCCCATTGGTTCTTGGTCTACCTCTTGCTCTACGCCCCTCTCCTCATTTAATATATGCCTTGGATAGTGTAGCATCATAAGGCATTCTCTCCAAGTGGGCAAACCATTTTATTTACTGTCTTTGAATGTAATTTAGAATTGGTTCTGTGCCGACTTTATCTCATATGACCTCATTCCTGATTTTATCTCTTCTGGTCACTGTTAGTCTTTCTCAGACACCTCAATTCCATGGTTACTAATTTTCATTTATGTTTTGTTGTGAGTGATCATGTCTGACACTAATAGCATAGGGTGGGAATGAACATGCTTTGTACGAGATGCTTCTTTGTGCTGATTGGGATTGCCTTAAGCTTTCCTGCATCGGATGTTGATTTCTTCGTCCAATTTACCATCTTCAGTGAATGTTGTTCCGAGATATTTAAACTCAGATGCCTGTTTAATATATGTATGATAAAATACTTTATTTAAATCCTACTTCTTTCTTCCTACTGACATTACTTCTGTCTTTTCGATGTCAATTCTCATATTATTTGAATTACATTCTTTATTCATGGATGTGAGATGTTGTATATAGTAAAAGGCTGTCTGGGATCAAACTAATAAAGGTAGAACAGTGCATAACTATATGAAAGTGGTGATGGCACTAAATAGGAAATTTTAAAAAACGATGAGGCGTGGACATCCAAAGGAAAGCTTGAAATGAACATTGATGAGAGGCCAAAGACGCTTGACTGGATTCTATCCACATCAAAGGGATTCCAAACAATAGACCAGAATGGAGAAATAGGCTGCAGTCCTTTGTTACTTGATGGCACAATAGGTCAGTATTGATGATGACAGCCAAAATAGATCTGTGTTGAGGCTTCACACCTAAATCATTAGTTTAAAAAATGGATGGACACCTCCATATTTTGATGACCACATGTAAGATGCATGATGTTTATTTTATGAAACTAATTACATTGTTACCAACATAAAAAATTGAAACAAGACTGAATTACAGAATGAAATGGTTTGGTCATCTAGTAAGAATACAGCTAAACTAAAACCTTCTGAAGAAGATCTGTAGGAGAGGAGATTGGCAGATGGTCTTGCTAAATCTTGCAAACAGAACAAGTCCATCGCTCAAGCCAACTCCCAAGACAAATACAGAAAATCATGACACCAGGCTTCAACAGGGTAACACTGATATTTAAGAACACAAAATTACATGATTTGAAATATGCTATGTTTGTATGAAATGTGCATTTTTTCCCCACTGCAGGTGTATGAGAATCTGGCATACAAGTTGTCACTGACTTTTCCTGCGACATACCCTATCGAGGCAGTCAAGGTGAAGTTTGAAACTCCTTGCTATCATCCAAATGTGGACAGCCATGGAAATATCTGCTTGGACATTTTGAAGGAGAAGTGGTCAGCCTTATATGATGTTCGGACTGTGTTATTGTCAATACAGAGCTTACTTGGAGGTTTGTTTGCACTGGCATGTTACATTGTTTTTTTAAAAAGGAGAAAAAAAAGGAATGCATAGTTATCCGATAGTACTCTCCCGTTAAAGAAAATCAGATTTTTTAATTGGTTGACGGCAAAGGTTGTACTATCGAGGAGATGCAGAATAACTGAAAGTTTATTGGTTGAACCCTAAGGTATTTTTTATATGCAATTTGAAGTTTCACCCCTTAGATTGCGAAGATTTTAAATGTCAAAATTGTGCTCTTTTCAGTATGCTTGTAAAAAAATGTAAAGCATCGTTGGATAACTATGCGTTTTATTTTGGTGAACAGTCTACTTTTGTCATTAGCTTTACATGTAGAACAGTTAGTTTAGGCAGTCTTCTCTAATTATAGGCCTAACAGGTCATAAGGGATTCCCGTTCTTGTGCAAGAATTGAGTCCCTCTGCGTCCACAGTTTTTATCGAGGAGATGTATACACAAATTAAACTACAGTTTCATTAATTTTCGACATATTTTATAGAACTATACGTCATGTTTAAGGTAGATAAGTGTGCCAATTAAATTTAACAATAAAGGCTCTAACAGACAAACAAAAATGCTTTTGCTACAGTCAACATAAACATCAATAACGTTTAGATTTAAACTAAAAGTTGTTCCAGCAAAAGTAAAGAAATATCAGTGCTAACTCTTTGATTCTGAGAGGGCAAAGGGGGGGGGGGGGGTGACATTTGTACTTTATCAAATTTAGTGCATAAAAATACTGCCATGAAACATATACATAACGTAAATATAAATGATTGATGATTATTATTATTAGTTGACTACTACAACATACAATTATACTGTTATTTAATAATTAGTAAACAAGCACACAATCAGTATGAAATTGATATGTGCAATACTTTTTTTCACCCAGAGTAGTTTTCTTAACAGTACTTATAGCCCTACTAAATATGTATCCTTAAGGTACAAACAGCACAAACAAATTTGTCCAGTTTCATCTTGTTGGATGAAATCAATTCCTTACCATTGCAAATTTTTTGGTAACAAATATGCATAAGAAGTGGATGAACAACCAGAAGTTTCCGCAAGATTTTACAGTCAGTGTTCGTGAAGCAAAGCAAAAGCCAGTTTACAAAAATTACCACAGACCGTACAACTGCAAATATGCATAAGAAGTGGATGAACAACCAGAAGTTTACAGCCAGTGTTCACGAAGCAAAGCAAAAGCCAGTTTACAAAAATTAACACAGACCGTACAACTGCAAATATGCATAAGAAGTGGATGAACATCCAGAAGTTTCCACAAGAGTTTACAGCCAGTGTTCGCGAAGCTTAAGTCAAATGGTTAAGGATTAATATTATTTGTGTACTGCTACAACATATAATTATACTGTTTGTCAACAATTAGTAAAGAGGCAAAGAGTGACTTGCTGTGAGAGGTTAGTTAGTAAACTAAAAAAAAAATTATTTTCATCCACTTACCTAGAGCCCCGAAATATCTTGACACAATTTATCCAGTGTGGTTGCACCATTTATGCACAGTCAGTATGAAAGCAATAGTTTTCTTCCAACACAAGATAGTTTGCACCTGACAACTGTCGATATTCTCCAGATATGGCTTCTAAATTACCTGTTTGTATTTTCCCTAAAAGTAAGATTTCTACATTTAAAGTAGAAAAGTAATAAACAGCCAGTTCCCCAAAATCCGAACTACTGACTAGAAACAGTGACACACACATCACAACACGACTGTCTCCCGTGAATTAAAATTAAAATTGCTGTAATCTAACAACAAAGTATGAAAATCTTTTATATCCACTTTACAATATCCGCTTGTCGATTTGTAATATGAATACAATCAGAACACAGAAGTTTGTAAACATATTATATTGTCACACAATGCAACATGGAAACGATTCAAGTAACCTATTTTCGAGGGCACTCAGCCAAAATGTATCGTGATTCAGTTGTTGGGCATTTTTAGAGAAGGCAGTGGTTTAGGCATGAGGAGCTGTGCTAGCCTAGTGAATATTCTACTTATATGCCAGTTTTGTGTCCGTAAGTTCAACATGGAATCAGATCTGGACAGTGCAATAGAAAAAAGAGAACCCATACACTGGAAGACTGATTCAGCATGGATGAGTAGAGGTTCTGGAAGATAATCAACACTGAGGGAAACAGATAGATGGCCTTTCAGTACGTTGCAACTAACACTATTAGCATATCAAGGAAGGAGATGGAGCATGTATGACAGTGACCTAAGTGCAATGATGGCAGTTCTTGATTTGTTCGTTCCATCATGTTTAACATGCATTACAAGCTCAACAGAGGTTATGTCTTTGTGTTACATGTTTGTGAGACTGATTGTAAAACATACATATCTAATACACTATCCCAGTGTTCTTTATTGTGTGTAAATGTTACGTCACCAACCACAACATAATTTTTTGTAAAGTTTCTTTATTCGTGTAAACTTGAATCAAACAAGGTGGCTACAGAGGTGGTACATAACTGCATATTTATTTCAGAACCAAATATTGACAGTCCACTAAATGCCCAGGCTGCTGATCTATGGAAGGATCAAACATTGTATAAAAAGGTTTGTAAGAGTGCTGTTCGTGTAGTTGTGTTCTTACTATGGCATGTTTGAGAACTGAGTTGGTAATAGTTAAATGTGACACGAATTCACTGTTCACAAAGGCTGCTGTATTGTTTTTGTTTATTTTAGTGGAGAATTACAGATAGCAGCTCTACTGACAGCGCTAGTATGCTTGTGTAAACCATACAGAGAACAGGCTAGTGTTTTATCATTCAGAAACATTGTAAAAATAGGGTGTATTCTCTGTTGGCTGTGATGTGTGACTCGTATGTCATATTTAGACAGTGTTGCGCCAGTAAAAAAAATTCTGCTTGCAGTGAAGAAGCTGCCATGCTAAGAACAAGACTGGACCTTTACAGAGCCAGGTCTTTAAGATGTAATATCCTAGAATGAGCCAGCTTTCACTGGGAAGACACAGTCAGTGAATCTGTGGGTGTGTTCCACATATTTCCTGTGCTGAAGTCTCAGCCAGCAAGAATAGAGAAGACCATGTCTCTGTTTGTATGTGGTGATTACTTTTCTGCATAAAAATATCTTTGTCCCAAATAGTTGTGCGGAAAGGGGAGAGGAAATAGCAAAATAATTTTTTAAAGTGATTTGAGCGAGAAAGCTGTGATCTTCACACTTGCTTGGTTGCTCAGTGGTCTAGGGGTTTGATCTCTAGGATTTTTATTTTAAAAAAAAATTACCAAAGCTCAGATTTCTTTTTCTGCTGCTTCTTCTCTTCCTTTAGTTTCTCAATAATGTCATTTAAGAAAAGTTTTTTCTTCACAGGATTCTTATAATGCGAAAGGGTTTAAAGCCTGCACCTCTTTAAAAAAAATTGAAATATATCTCTATTTCAGTAACTTTTGTGTTGCTGCAAAGCAAGTAGTTTCTACACCTTTAGGTGAATTTTCTCCATTCCGAATAAACTTTTACTGTTCATATCAGTGCATACTGGCATTTTTGATTAGCGTTCACTGAATTCCATCTCTGGTGGTAGTTTTCTAGATGTATTCTACAGTTAGTGCGGCACATAATAGTAACAAAGAATGAGGCACTGCATCTTCAGCTCTTCCCATCCTTTAGTTTATATTTGGTTCACATTTAAGCTGAGATCTAAGTATACTTCAATTGCTTCACTTTTTGTTTTTTAGGTTCTGTTAGAGAAATACAACAAAGAGGTGAGAAAATCTGATGACTCGACACAGCAGCTTCATAAACTCTCCTGATGTTTTACATTCACCAGCATTAGAACATTTGACAGATTTCATAATAAAGAATTTTAACTAAATAAAAAAAATATGGTTCGTGTTTTCATTTGTTTTGCTGAGTTTGTCAGTCTGCATGTGTATATAACGGATGAAGCTGCCAACAGGATTTATATTGTTAATAAAGAATGTGAGCATCATTTTAACTGTCACTGACCATGAGGTGCAGGATCTGACCTAACTCTTTCAGTACCAGCAGCTGTTATTTTCACTCCTCTCATCCTAAGAGAAAGTGAGTCTTAAAGTAATATATACTTAGGTCTGATGGAGTTCAGTAGAGAAACCTAGACAAACTTTAGTTTCGAATGACAGATTAAAAAAAATTACATCTGGTCAGTGAGAAAACATGATACCACATTGTGAACACCTAGTTATGTTGTTTGGTGCTATAAGTGTTCTAGAAATGGTTTATATTATCTATTACCATGGGCTGTTATAAATAAAGTAAGTAGTTTTTGGTCATCAAAATATTGTGCTACTTTTAGATATAACTACACTGCAGTTTTTAAAAGATAATACTGTTCTCCATTTTCTCTTTTACTGCTTCAGGTGTTGAGGAAGATGTAAGGTTCTATGCTTTTGCTCTTCTTGACCATAGACACATCTTGCTGCAGTTTCTCTGTTATCTTTCCATCTTGTTCTCTGAAGAAATTTCCTGAAAAATGAGGCTCTGGTGAAGTTTGAACAGGCCTAGTAACCTGGCAACGGATTTATTATCCCACAGAGAATACAAAAAGACAGACTGAAGATATACATTACATATAAGAATTAACTTCTTCATTACAATGGGGTCAATTTAGGTCCAAACAAAAAAGCTGGATGTATACTCAGACTATAATCAGTGTGCTACAGAAACAGTGGGTATCCACACTTGAAGACATTTGCTGTTGGAGACGGAGCACCTATGGGTATGCACAGTGTGCTATGATATTCGTAAAGCAGTAAACATTATGTAAAGACATGAGAATAAAGTTAAAATGTAAAAAAAAAAAGATGGCACAAATATAACCGTGGGGGGGGGGGGGGTAACAAAGTGAAAAAGACTATGAACACACAAGTTGGTTCAGAATTAGTAACTGCTTAATAGTAACAATGAGCATGGACTCCAAGAGTTAAAAATTAAACTTTATTGGATTTTGCTGAGGCCGTACAAACTAAAATCACTGAGATTTTGAAATATACATGACATGTGTTACCTGAGTGTATACAGTATCATATAACCCATGAAGCTGCTTTAAAATTATGCAAATAAATATTTAGTCAAATTTACAGCATTTCAAAACAAAGTATTTCAATACCTGAAAAAGACTACTTGTGGGGATGATCAACTCAATGCTGCAAAACTGACTGGGTTTTTTTGGGGGGGGGGGGGGGGGGGGTGGGGTGGGGGGGGGGGGGGGGGGGGGGGGGGGGGGGGGGGGAGTGATATTTTATGAGCTATTTCTGTCTGAGATTTGATGCATTCTGGCCTGTTTATTTTAATGTTCATATTTCTGGAGATTTTGACTTTAAAAGTCTCTGCAGTGAAGTAGCAGAAGCTGATTATCAATGGTAACCCATCTGCAGGGTTCAAACATTGATAACATGGCTAGCATTGAGTATTTGTGAAAAGAACTTTCATGTAAATATATTACAAATAACAAAGATGTACACAAAAAGTAAAAATATGCTCACTATTAAACTAGAAAGGTGTCCCCCATTGAAAACCTGGCTCTTTAGTAGACAACTACTTCAGCTGAGACTTGCAACATGTGTCATTACTTCAAACACTGCCAGTGCTAAAAATGAATTCTGGTTTCAGTTGTATAAGGAACATGCGTATCAGATAAAGTGGTGGGGGGGGGGGGGGGGGGGGGGCGGGGGGGGGGGGGGGGGGGGGGGGGGTGGGGGAAAGACTCCCATCTCACCCTGTTCCCCTTGTTCTTTTGGTCTAAGGATGAAGTATAAACTAGAGAGTGTCTGCTTCATGTTAGGTTCCCAGGGAAAATATTTACCACACATTGATATGTGCCTTTTGATTTTCACAGTTCATTACTGCCTGTTGGTAGCCAAGTTTAATGGTTGATTTGCAATGAAATCTAATGCTACTACTAACCCTTCGTTCAGATTTCACATCTGATCTATCTTATCCATATGTTGGGTACTCTTGGGAAATACACGTCAGTTGTAATTATTCTATTCTTTTTTTGCTGTCACTGTCCGCTGGTCTTTGGCACATAATTATTATAAAAAAAATATTTGTCTTGGAATGTTTTGTGTGTGTGGTTTCCGACACATTTTTGTTTTGGTTTGTCAGCGTTAGTACCATTTGTCCAATAAGTTGGTTTGTTTTATTGTATCTAATCTTAATATTTTGCAATTAACTGGCTGATTATATTATGTGTCCTAAGTTCTTAACTGGCAACAGCACTAGCAAAAGACAAACATAAAAAGCGCACATCTAGCAGAGTGCTGAAACTACTACATTTGGCAGCGAACTAAATAATCAATTTAAACAGTTAAAAAGAAATTATTGTGTGTGAAGCCTCACCTTATAATATTATCTGCAAAAATAATCTAGATCAAAGCCAACATCCTTTAATGTATAAAACTAGCTGAAAATAAGATGCTGAGGTGTTTCTAGACTACTGCCAAATAATCCAGGAATAATTTAAAAAAACACACATATACATACATTATTCAACTCCAAAGAAATTTTTGACATATTTATGTAACTACATAGCGCAATTTAAATAGCCAGGATTTTGTGAGCATGCAGCAACTAAAGAGGATATCAAAATAAATGCCACTAGTGCCCTCACTCAGTGTACAGACTTAACAAACAGTCCAAAGCCTTATTAAGAGGTAGAAAAATCCTATAAGAAGCAGATATCTACCATTAAAGCAGTATACAACAGATGACGTGAGACTGCTTGTGTCCATGATAAATTAGACAGTTAACACACAAAGGTAATGCCTCTGCCAATTAAATTAAGTTTCAGTTTTTAAAAATAGCTAGGAAGTAAAATCTATTATTATTTTACATCTCAGGTACTACCTTGCTCTAAAATTATGACTGAAATGAAAACTGGCAAAGAATAACCCGTATTTCATACAACATGCTGGTTGATTTGGAGCTTACGTAAAACGTACAGGTGTAAAATGGAATAGTCAGTAAATTACAAGCTGACAATAACAGGGCAGTTTGTAAAAACAGAATCATTAACCAGATCAGCAGACTGCTAAGTGAAGTATAGTTAACTGTTTATGTCATTGGGTACATTTACATCTGGGGATAGACATGTTTTCTTCATACATCACCTGACTGGTAATGTTACCATCATCTCACTGGGCACTTTTATTGTTTGGGTACCAGCTGAAGGCTGTGCTGATGTAAGTTGTCAAATAATAATGTCTGTCCTGGAGACTGGGTGTCAGAGGCAATGAAACAGCTGGACTTGCTACTCCAGAGAAAGAGTTACTTCTTTTTCAAAATTTGCTGGCTGAAAGTGATGACTTTTTTTGTTCTCCCACATTCAGTAAGTCAGTCACTGCTAAGAATGGAAGTAACAATCAAAACAGCCTGAGAAAAGTCATTTAAGACGTATATTGAGTCTTGTCAACCAGTACAGGATTGGCACTATTAGCACTGATGTATGCTGAGGGGAATCTGAGCATCTACCTATGTGCAAGTGATAAAAAGAAAGTAAATCTCCTATTTGTTCGATCATCAAGGTGCAAGGTGAACACCTGTGGACATGTCTGGAGTGCCACAACAATCACCTGAGTGATCAACTATATGTATCACTATCTTCAACAACCATATGTGCATTAAAAGCCAACTGAAAGCTGAAACTCTGGTGTAATTACATGATTTCAAAAGTCTCTAATGCTTAAACATAAATAAAATGAAACTTTTTACAGCTAAAATCGGATGTGGATCACAAATTCATGTAGTTGGCTGCAATAAAAGTTGATTCCTAATGCCACAGTCTAAGGACACCAAGTATGAGGCCACCAACTGCTATCACAGTACCTGTACAGAAATATAATGTACACATATTAATTTTAAAACAGCATCTATTCTCATATTGCTGTAAATTATTTATGTTGGAGGTTATCTGTTATAATAATAATATTTTTCAGTTTTCAATTAAACAAAACAGACAAAGTCTGGAAACATGAAGGACAAATATGTTTATATATTTCAAAAATGTGCATGACAAAGGAAACCCTAAGAAAACAGAAAATCGCTCCAAATATTGCTAAAATTAGCTTGTTTCACTTTGTCCAGACTCTCCAAAAGTCCTTTAACAGTCACCGAGTTTTTGTAAAAAGCAACTGCGGTTGTTAACAATTCAGGATCTAAACATTCCCAGCTATAACAAATGGTTTTATTATCTCACAACTTTCATTGCTGCAGATATCACTTGCCTACATTCTTTTTAACATTTCATTCATTACATTTAATTTCGTTTATTACTGATAAAACAAAAACAGCTGAAAACACATGTCATGACTGTAATAAAGTATTCTGATAAAAGTGGATCCAGGTATGCTCAGTGCAGAGTGACAAGCACCGCTTTAGAGGTCCCAGGTAGTTAGCATCCTTTGGATAATGCAGGTGTGTTGGAAAATGAACAGATATACAGACTGGCTGGTTCTGTGCCATTTACTGGCAAATTGATGCATGACAAGCTAGACATTATCAAGGATCTAGTTTGAGAATGGAGGGGTGGAGGCAGTCGCTGCTGCCTTCCGCTGGACTGAAAATCAGCTCTACACATATCATAATTGTAACTGACCCACAGAATATGCTGAGAAAGGTGGAGTCAGGCATGCTCCATGCAGAGTGGCAAGCATCGCTTCAGAGTCCCTTGGATAGTTTCTCCAGGTTATGCCGGTGTGTTGGAAAAGGAGCAGGCAGACAGTATGGCTGGTTCTGCACCACTTGGTGGTGAACTGATGTATGACAAGCTGGATGTTATGAGGGCCCTTTGTCAGTGCACGAATAATGCGGAGGCCCACAAAGATCATTATGGTCTGAGAAGAATGCTCAATGCTCCATGGAAAGGAGATGTACAGTCAGACAGTTACTGGTACAATCAGAGCTGGAACCCTTCACTTGCTGCTAAAGATGAGGATGGAGCGCTTATGGGAGTGTTCCAAGTGCTATGATTCTGATTCTTAATTCAACATTCTATATCCAGGATCATTAGGAGTAAATGACCACAGTGGAGGCACAAAGATCTTTACGATCTGAAGAGAATGTGCAGCGGGGAATGACCAGGGGATCTGGCTGAGAATTAAAGCAAAGGCAAGACAGACATCCGTCCAGACTGCTAATGGTATCACTGAGACTGGAACTCTGCGCTGGCTGCTGAAATGGGGATGAAGCACTTATGGGAATGTCTCAAGTGCTACGATGTCAGCTGTTAACTCATCTCTTTTGTGTACAGTTTTGGTCTCTCCGTTATCTGCCTTAACTATTGCAATCTATTAGCCTTCAAAACAGATTATGAATTTAATTGTTGCCTCTAAATCCATATCTCTGATTTTTAGTTAATAGAAAACAATTAACACATAAACCATAATATTTATGGAGATACATTAGCTCAGAAAATGAAAGTGCACATACCTCCTGCATATTTGAAGACATCATTACGGTAAACTTCATAGATGGTCTTTAGATTTGCTATCTCTGTTTCAATCTTGTTGTGAAGCTGCTGTAACCTTTTCTCATTTTCTGCATGCTAGCAAGAGGAAACAAAGTACAACTTATCAAGTGGGGGAGTGAAAATGATAGTACAGTAAGGACAACACTTGCTAAGACTTCATGTAAGTCTGTCACTTGTAGCATACTAATTGCTAAGAAATTATCACTTCTCAGAGACATACTGAAAGCTTTAATGCCCCCCCCCCCCCCCTTTTTTCCCCACAATGTCAAAGATTTAGGCACAGTAGCTTTTTCTTTAAGGGGGAGACAATAAGTGTCAAAGTTTGATGTCAGTAATTGTAAAGCATTATAAAACACCAGAAGACATATTTTTTATATCTAGGGATAAGATATCTGAACACAGAAAGATGTTTTTCTATAGATTAAATAATGCCTTTAAGTGTTACTTTCCTTCTTTATTGGTTCGTAAAATGTAGAAATGTAATGTAAAATGTAGGAAGCTTGAGGCCAAATGAAACAAGTAACAAAAACAGATTCTGGCTGGCATTCACAGGTGACACAAGTAAAATGGTTTTTAAAAAAATGCACACACACACACAGATATTACAAGAAAATATTACAACTAGGCACACCAGGATTCAACTCTGTTACCCCTCAAAAGATGATAGAGCATCACCAAAGAAACAAGCTTAGTCACATAACCATCACATGTTGTTCTATGAGCTCATCTCCTCCATGATTTCTGTCTCTTGCAATATTTTCTTTGTTTAAAGATATTATGCTGAATCTGCATTCTTTAGCTGTATTATATTTCTTGTTTCCAGATATTATGCTGAATCTGCATTCTTTAGCTGTATTATATTTCTTGTTTCCAGATATTATGCTGAATCTGCATTCTTTAGCTGTATTATATTTCTTTTTTTCCCCAGATATTATGCTGAATCTGCATTCTTTAGCTGTATTATATTTCTTGTTTTTCCCCAGATATTATACTGAAGTCTGCATTCTTGGGTTTATTTTATTTTTGTTTTTGAATTTTAAATTAAGAACTCACAACTGGGACCTCAGATGAACTGCATACTACTATAATTTAAGTACATATATTCTATGGTTTAGATGTAAACATAATCTAGTAAGTTGTCTTTCAAATAAATAAATGTGTGGAGGTACAAACAGATCTTTATAGTTTGAGGACAATAGTGTTGCGAGGAGTTACCAGAGGAACTGGCCGACACCCAAAGAAAAGCTGAGCTATGCAATATCAGACACTCAAAGAAAAGCTGAGCTATGCAATATCAGACACTCAAAGAAAAGCTGAGCTATGCAATATCAGACACGCAAAGAAAAGCTGAGCTATGCAATATCAGACACTCAAAGAAAAGCCGAGACATATGCAATCAGACAGCTACTATAATGTTTGTTGTATCCTCTACAGGACATTGCAGAAACAACGCCTACTGGTGCTATCTAAAATTGGAACTCTTTGTTTGCTGCTGAAGATGGGGATGGAGCACTTATGTGAGTGTCTCGAGTGCTGTGATGCTGATTCTTAATTCAACATTAAACATACATAAATGTATACATAAACAAGATGATATCAGATTAGGTCTACATCGGAAGAGAAAAAGAACACAGAACCTGACGTAGACCAAGAACAATGTGGAAAGATATCAGAGAAACTCTATGATAGCATGGTATATCTAGGTCTAAGGTGACTAGAAGAGCAGAACCAGAACCTTATATTTTAGCACCCAATTCAGTATAAGGAAATGAAGAAGAGGACAGAGCACACAACTGTATTTGTCTATTTTAACATGAACAGTATTCACTAAAATAAAATGACTTGATAACGAACACATCAAAACATGAGATACCTACTGCTTCTATTGCACGTCCCCTTTCAAGATTAATATCAAGACTGAACTGGCCCTTCAATTTCACAATCTCATCGTTCATATGACCTTGGACTTGTGACAGCTCAATGCTTATTTTCTGTAATATTTGAGAGATGATAACAGAAAAGTATTTAATGATAACAAATACCCAGTCAATACTGTAATGTAGACTGCATGTACTTCTGTGGGATATTCTTCCTGTGACATATCAGTAAATGGACTGACTGATAATATACTTGAGTGACTGCAATATGCCATCCACATTTAGCTGTTACCCTCATTTTTGCATAATATCACTCTTACATAGAACCTGTTCTGCTGTATGGCAGCGAATCTTGGAATGTCAATGAACAAATTAGGAAGAATTTGAAAGCAAGAAAGATATGGTTTTTGAGATGAATGTTACGAATACCCTGGACGGCCAAAGTAACTAACAACGATTGCTTGAAAGAAGCTAATGAAAGTAGATCTCTATTTACAACATTAAGAAAGAGACAAACACTATTCTTTGGCCACATAATGAGAAGAGAGAGATTGGAGAACATCATGATAACTGGAAAGATCAGTGGAACAAGGGGTAGAGGCAGACCAAGAGAAATGATGCTGGATGTCAATGGCATGGAGGGATATCATCAAGAGAGCTGTTCCAGGCAACCAGGGATCATGATATGTGGAGACACATGAGCACCTACCATAGTTGGCCGGGAACATGATGATGATGATTCTTTTAGGGTTATTGCAGAAGAAAAAAAAAAGAAGCAGAAGAAGACTCTTTCAGCTATCTGTTATTTATTTTAATATAAGAAACATCAAAGTAAAATACTGACCAGCAAGGTTTACTAAACTTAACATATTATTTTATCATTTAGCACATCTAGCCATATCAACGATACTAAACAAAACTACTCTGAATAATGAAAATACCTCACATTAAATACATATAAATCTTACTTCAGTTTCTGTCTTCAAGGAAGAGAACTCGCTCTTCTGTAGCAATGTCATATCTTTCTTCACTGAGACAATCTCTGACATCAACTGCTGAACTGCTATTTCCTAAGGAAAACAAATCCGAAGACACAGAAGGTAATCACTAGAAGACAACAGGCTGCATGATTATGACTACAGGAAACAACACAAACACAATACAGGAATTTCCTGTTCAGAAAGTAATGGCAAACTTTTGAACTTAAAATTACCTAGTAAAACCACACAACAGCCAAGAATGCTTGAGCTGGTTTTCTTGAAGAGGATATGCAACTTCTTCAGCATTCCAAGCCCTTAAATGTTTGTAGGTGTGTCTGTATCTCCACACGATCTCCTTTGTCTGTCTCATGGTTAAAGCCCATTCATTTTCCTTGTTACACAATTTTTAACTCTGTCGTCTGCCATTCTCTCTCTATGCCCCCGCCATTTCCGTCTATTAGCCCTTATGATGCCAGTGATCAATGGTAATTTAAACAGATTATAAGTCTCATTGTTGCTTCTCACCGTCCATTTGCTGCTGTCTGCATCTTTGATGGGTTTGAAGATTCCCATTTTCAGAGCCATATAAGACAACTGGTCTTATCAAAATTTGACATACTGTGATCTTGGTGTTAAGAGACATGTGTAATGTTGAGTAAAATGGCAATACCTATTTTTCAGCCAAACTATACTAGGAAATCATGTGACAATTGAGAAAATAAAAGAGTAGAATATCTGAGATCAGCAAAATATAAATAAAAATTATATTTATCATGAAATGTGTCAAATGTCATGTGTCAGTAAACAACAGTCATACATTAGATGTAGTAGTTTGTTGTTAAAAAAAATTAGCAGGTCCATGCAGTCCTAGATCCCTGTTGAGGCTATCAATGAAAAATCACAGAGAAAGCAAACCTCAGTGCTTTAAGATTACTTGAGATGTACTGCATTCGGGCCAATGCCAGATCTTTCAATAAATCTGCTGTCAACTCAGTCATCTCATGAGTTTCATGGTAAGGTACTTTGCATGTATCTGTTTTGAAATCTGTATTGAAATACTGACAGTTGTACAGGAAGTGAAGAGCAAAGAAAACTGTCTCATGAACAGCAGCAAGTCTTGGAAACTGACCACCATAAAAGCCACTTCCCCTTCTATTCCACCAGCTACCTCAGCAGAGTATGTGTGGCTGAAACAAACAAACAAAGGTGGGGAGAGAGTGTTAGAACAATGTGTGTGCTTCTTTTTATTTCTTGATGCCACTGTCCCAGCTTTTGTGTAGTCTTCCCTTCACTGTGTTTATTTTATTTCTCCCAGATGGCTATCTGTGGCAGCACAAGATCATAAATGCTACTTTTGTTTAGAAAGAATAGTATTATAAGGCAAGTTTCCTTTTTTTTAAAAATGTATAAAATGTGTTTTGATTAATTTATCTCACCTAGTCGGTTTAGCGATCCCCATTTTGGGAGGGGGGGGGGGGGGGAGAAGGGGAGATAAAGGCCTTGTGTCTGTCCTAACTAGCAAGAAAGAAAAGTGGCAGCTGATTAGGGGTTTGTTGAAAAACAGATATGTTGCAGCCTAGCAGAAAACCACAACACAACATGCCAAATGCCTTTTTAAAAAACAAATGCTGAAAATGATTAATTTATTTACCACTGGCTTTTGTAATCATTGCCAGTATTTGTGCTTATGATGCCAGTCCTCATGAAATAACACAACACTAGGTGTTTTACACAGTAAAACTGTTTCAACTGCTAGTCTCACTTGTTTCAATAAGACTGCATAAAACTCTCTAGTTACCTTTCAGTAATTAAAAGTGCCAAACAAGAACATGCACTTCCATCTAGGAAACATATACATATGTCATAATGGCATAAAAGGATAAAGAGACAACCAAAATGATTACAGTTATTTCGTATTAACACCTGTTGTGGTTTAGTAACCATATGTCGACCCTGATGATCCAAGGTGGTGTTGATAATCTCTACCAAAGACTCAGCAAATCCTTCAGCTTGCTCTCTGGTAAATCCTAGGGGGAAAAAAAAAACATTTACAGGCACATTAACTATGGCACAACCATATTAATCATAAGGTAAAGTGTTATATATCAATGACAATATAAATAATCTAGCCCACAGACTATCATGTTTGTGCTTGTCATGGCAGGTTAATTCAGTCCACAGAATAGAAAATACATCAGCATGCACATATGTGTGTATGTGTGTGTTAAGGGACCAACAACTCACTCTATCTGAACTCTAGCTTTGTGCTTGCCCATAAACTTATTCTTAAGACTCAAATATGTAGTTGCTTCCTCTTGAATTCCACTTCTACAAAATGTGATTTACATACAAACAAATAACCTAATATAGACAGCTTTTCTATGTTTGTCAGCTTCATCATCTTAACCAGTTTTCTGTTTGTTAGCTTCATTAGAGTAGTATGGTTATGTATCTGAACTCTTTAGGTACCATGCAATTCATTCTGAATTTCTTGGTCAATCCAAAGCCATCACAGTTTTAGCATTTTTCTAAAAGATATAACTGCTACATTAAATCACTGTGTCTAAACTGTTATCTCATATCTCTAGAGTAAATCATTTATATTTGCAAATGGAATTTATGAGAATAGACAGAGTTAAAGTAACAACTGTTTGGGAGGAAAAAATTTTAAAAAATATGTCTAACAAGCAGTGATTTAAATTTTCAGTGACACACAAGTGAGGATACTATAGAAAAAGAGACACATAATTACACCAAGATTGATACAAATCTTGTTACAATTATCAATCTGCTAGGCAAAACTGTACTATGTGCAGGTGATACACATGGAATTATTGATTAGCACTGACCTCTGCTGCCAAGACCTCACCAAATTACAACATATTACAGACAAAAGAATTTGATAATCTGCATAATAATATTCTCACTGCGAGTGACTGTCTGCACAATTAGACACCACCCTCACTGCAAGTGACTGTCTGCACAACTAGACACCACCCTCACTGCGAGTGACTGTCTGCACAACTAGACACCACCCTCACTGCAAGTGACTGTCTGCACAACTAGACACCACCCTTAATGCAAGTGACTGTCTGCACAACTAGACACCACCCTCACTGCAAGTGACTGTCTGCACAACTAGACATCACTCTCACTGCGAGTGACTGTCTCCATAACTAGACATCACCCTCACTGCGAGTGACTGTCTGCACAACTAGACACCACCCTTACTGCAAGTGACTGTCTGCACAACTAGACACCACCCTCACTGCCAGTGACTGTCTGCACAACTAGACACCACCCTCACTGCGAGTGACTGTCTGCACAACTAGACACCACCCTCACTGCCAGTGACTGTCTGCACAACTAGACACCACCCTCACTGCGAGTGACTGTCTGCACAACTAGACACCACCCTCACTGCGAGTGACTGTCTGCACAACTAGACACCACTCTCACTGCAAGTGACTGTCTGCACAACTAGACACCACCCTCACTGCAAGTGACTGTCTGCACAACTAGACACCACCCTCACTGCGAGTGACTGTCTGCACAACTAGACACCACCCTTAATGAGAGTGACTGTCTGCACAACTAGACATCACCCTTAATGAGAGTGACTGTCTGCACAACTAGACACCACCCTTAATGAGAGTGACTGTCTGCACAACTAGACACCACCCTTAATGAGAGTGACTGTCTGCACAACTAGACATCACCCTTAATGCAAGTGACTGTCTGCACAATTAGATACCACCCTTAATGCAAGTGACTGTCTGCACAACTAGATACCACCCTCATTGCAAGTGACTGTCTGCACAACTAGACACCACCCTTAATGCAAGTGACTGTCTGCACAACTAGACATCACCTTCACTGCGAGTGACTGTCTGCACAACTAGACACCACCCTCACTGCGAGTGACTGCATAACTAGACATCACCCTCACTGCAAGTGACTGTCTGCACAACTAGACACCACCCTCACTGCGAGTGACTGTCTGCACAACTAGACACCACTCTCACTGCAAGTGACTGTCTGCACAACTAGACACCACTCTCACTGCAAGTGACTGTCTGCACAACTAGACACCACTCTCACTGCAAGTGACTGTCTGCACAACTAGACACCACTCTCACTGCAAGTGACTGTCTGCACAACTAGACACCACTCTCACTGCAAGTGACTGTCTGCACAACTAGACACCACTCTCACTGCAAGTGACTGTCTGCACAACTAGACACCACCCTTAATGCAAGTGAATGTCTGCACAACTAGACACCACCCTTAATGCAAGTGACTGTCTGCAAAACTAGACATCACCTTCACTGTGAGTGACTGTCTGCACAACTAGACATCACTCTCACTGCGAGTGACTGTCTGCACAACTAGACATCACTCTCACTGCAAGTGACTGTCTGCACAACTAGACATCACCCTCACTGCGAGTGACTGTCTGCACAACTAGACACCACCCTCACTGCGAGTGACTGTCTGCACAACTAGACACCACCCTCACTGCAAGTGACTGTCTGCACAACTAGACACCACCTTCACTGCAAGTGACTGTCTGCACAACTAGACACCACCCTCACTGCAAGTGACTGTCTGCACAACTAGACACCACCTTCACTGCAAGTGACTGTCTGCACAACTAGACACCACCCTCACTGCGAGTGACTGTCTGCACAACTAGACACCACCCTCACTGCAAGTGACTGTCTGCACAACTAGACACCACCTTCACTGCAAGTGACTGTCTGCACAACTAGACACCACCCTCACTGCAAGTGACTGTCTGCACAACTAGACACCACCTTCACTGCAAGTGACTGTCTGCACAACTAGACACCACCCTCACTGCAAGTGACTGTCTGCACAACTAGACACCACCTTCACTGCAAGTGACTGTCTGCACAACTAGACACCACCCTCACTGCAAGTGACTGTCTGCACAACTAGACACCACCCTTAATGCAAGTGACTGTCTGCAAAACTAGACATCACCTTCACTGCAAGTGACTGTCTGCACAACTAGACACCACCCTCACTGCCAGTGACTGTCTGCACAACTAGACATCACTCTCACTGCAAGTGAATGTCTGCACAACTAGACACCACCCTTAATGCAAGTGACTGTCTGCAAAACTAGACATCACCTTCACTGCGAGTGACTGTCTGCACAACTAGACACCACCCTCACTGCAAGTGACTGTCTGCACAACTAGACACCACCCTCACTGTGAGTGACTGTCTGCACAACTAGACATCACCCTCACTGCAAGTGACTGTCTGCACAACTAGACATCACCTTCACTGCAAGTGACTGTCTGCATAACTAGACATCACCCTCACTGCGAGTGACTGTCTGCACAACTAGACATCACCCTTAATGCAAGTGACTGTCTGCACAACTAGACACCACCTTCACTGCGAGTGACTGTCTGCACAACTAGACACCACCCTCACTGCAAGTGAATGTCTGCACAACGAGACATCACCCTCACTGCGAGTGACTGTCTGCACAACTAGACACCACCCTCACTGCGAGTGACTGTCTGCACAACTAGACACCACCCTCACTGCGAGTGACTGTCTGCACAACTTGACACCACCCTCACTGCAAGTGACTGTCTCCACAACTAGACACCACCCTCACTGTGAGTGACTGTCTGCATAACTAGACATCACCCTCACTGCAAGTGACTGTCTGCACAACTAGACACCACCCTCACTGCGAGTGACTGTCTGCACAACTAGACACCACCCTTAATGCGAGTGACTGTCTGCACAACTAGACATCACCCTCACTGCGAGTGACTGTCTGCACAACTAGACACCACCCTCACTGCGAGTGACTGTCTGCACAACTAGACACCACCCTCACTGCGAGTGACTGTCTGCATAACTAGACATCACCCTCACTGCGAGTGACTGTCTGCACAACTAGACATCACCCTCACTGCGAGTGACTGCACAACTAGACACCACCCTCACTGCGAGTGACTGTCTGCACAACTAGACATCACCCTCACTGCGAGTGACTGCACAACTAGACATCACCCTCACTGCAAGTGACTGTCTGCACAACTAGACACCACCCTCACTGCAAGTGACTGTCTGCACAACTAGACATCACCCTCACTGCAAGTGACTGTCTGCACAACTAGACATCACCCTCACTGCGAGTGACTGTCTGCACAACTAGACACCACCCTTAATGCAAGTGACTGTAGTGAGTCATTTTCTCCCCATTAAGTTGGAGAATGGAGGCTCGTCCAAACATTTGAGGATAGGAAAGTTGTTTCGTACAGTAAAATCTGAGACATCGAAATGTGTTTAGTTATCAACCTGACGTCAGGTAGTACCAGTTAAACATAAGATCGTAAGCGGGGAAGATCGATGGCGAAATAACAACAACCCATATTCGATAGTTCACAGATTGAACAACGTTAGGACAAATTACAGGCTTTGAATACTGATAGACAAGTCCACGTTTAAAGTTTCGACCAAGTAATCAACAATCAACTAATATGCGAAGGAAAGATTGCAGACAGTGACAGTGTCAAAGAGCATTCATTAATGGTAGCAAAGGAATACAACCGTAAGTCTACACAGAGATGATGTGAGACTAGGGCTGCCCCTCTGCAAAACTTCCGAAGCCTTGTTGTTTGATCAAATTTCGCTGCCGACTAAAGTGTGGTAAAGTGTAGTGGGAAATCTACACTGAACAACACAGAGAAGCGTCGACACCAGATCCTGTTTTTCAGATCTGTTTTCAAAACATAGAAAGACAGTGAAACACCGGGTAGAGTGTTAACTGTACGGAAATCAAAAGAACCACAGCTCTGACACTGGGTATTTGTGTCGCAGCTCTACATTTTCAGCCGTGGCAAACCATTTAATAGGAAAACTACAGTATGACAAGTCTACAAAACCTCAAGATCAGCACTCATTGATGTCTCGTGATCAATAATGCTTCAAGTTCATCGTGTAATCGCACATATAACAAGAAAGCGATAACAATAAAGCTTTCCTACATCCTAAACACATTCAGTCGACAGGAAAAGCATCAAATTGGTCGGTGCAAATCTAAGTATTGATTGAAGTGTGTAGCTAGCAGTGAACTATTTAAGTGTCTACAGTTAACAATGTACTATTGAAGTGTGTAGCTAGCAGTGAACTATTTAAGTGTCTACAGTTAACAATGTACTATTGAAGTGTGTAGCTACCAATGAATTATTCAGTGATCAATATCCAGTTTATGAAACCGATAGTTCAGTGAACAGTACCACAAACAGTATGCAGTTTCTGTAATAAATGCTTCACTGAACAATTGCTTAATCAATGTGCATTCAATGCTAAAATTAATAGTGTGAACAGATAAACTGTGCGGTCTTAATTAGTTTCAGTGTTGGTGATATAGCACTGCCCTGGGGAACTCCTTCTCTAAGTTTTGCCAGTTTGCCAATGTGTCCATCAATTCTGAATCTGGCTGATTTAGCCATTGTTGAGGGCTTTCATGAATGGGAATAGCGAGGGTGGGACTTCATGGGGTCACACTTCGGTTTTAGAGCCAAGATTTTGGACTTCCGCACCGATCGGTGGGTGCCAGGAGAGGGGTTCGGTTATATACCGACTTTAGAACTAGGTGGGGATACCTATGGAGCCAGATTATTGGTCTTCCGCACTAAAAGGGGAGTGCCTGGGGTGAGGATCCCATTAAGGTATTCACAGTCGTGCAAAGACCCAACAGATGGCATTTTAGAGTGTTTGAATTGTTAACCTAATGAGGAAAAGGGAACTTGGTTGGAAATGAACTTGTCGAAAATGATTCACTACAGAGGTCTAGAATCACAATGTTCAGTGAAATGTTCGCACCTGATTGATTGAAAATGTAAAACATTTTTTTTGGGGTGGGGGAGAATGTAGTGAGTCATTTTCTCCCCATTAAGTTATGCCCGATAGATGACGTCAGTAATAAATGTAAGGCGAATGTTTGACTGACTGAGATAACACGAGATTTATGTCTTGAGTTTCATGAGAGACATCTGAAAGTCAGGTTTTATGTGAAACATGATTGTTCACGTGAACCATGAAGGTTGACTGGCAGGATTCGTGTGAAATGCGAATTATCACGGGCCAGACACGACAATTCATGAGAATGAAATTATCCAGAATATTCAAGAACAGGACAGATCAGAGGGCTATATAATAGCGAAGAAAAGGTTTGTGAGGCAGTCTCGTTTAGGCCAAGGGAAAGGTGTACGTGTGAAAAAGTTAGGAAGAATGTTGATGTCTGAATAGCGTGATTTCCCAATGCCTACCTGGCATAAAATAGCGGCTGACGGAAACGGTGGCCAGCTGTGAATGACTGTCGTTCTGGATGGAGGGAGCTACTGTGTTCTTTGAATTGTGTGTATATTCTACGATGTTACAAAGGTATGATTGACTGTTTAGAACATTGATGAGTGATACAATCGTATATAAACATTTACTGACAGCAACATCAGCGAGTGAAAATAAACAGTACGTGTAACTTCTGAACGTCTGCCAGCGTCCATGTTTTCTCGTTCTTGTCAGTTGATGGAAAGATGCGGTGACTCATTCGAGCCAGCAATTAATCACAATGAAGATCACTGCAGTGACTGTCTGCACAACTAGACACCACCCTCACTGCGAGTGACTGTCTCCACAACTAGACACCACCCTCACTGCGAGTGACTGTCTGCACAACTAGACACCACCCTCACTGCGAGTGACTGTCTGCACAACTAGACATCACCTTCACTGCGAGTGACTGTCTCCACAACTAGACACCACCCTTAATGCGAGTGACTGTCTGCACAACTAGACACCACCCTCACTGCGAGTGACTGTCTGCACAACTAGACACCACCCTCACTGCGAGTGACTGTCTCCATAACTAGACATCACCCTCACTGCAAGTGACTGTCTGCACAACTAGACATCACCTTCACTGCGAGTGACTGTCTGCACAACTAGACATCACCCTCACTGCGAGTGACTGTCTGCACAACTAGACACCACCCTCACTGCGAGTGACTGTCTGCACAACTAGACACCACCCTCACTGCGAGTGACTGTCTGCACAACTAGACACCACCCTCACTGCGAGTGACTGTCTGCACAACTAGACATCACCCTTAATGCAAGTGACTGTCTGCACAACTAGACACCACCCTTAATGCAAGTGACTGTCTGCACAACTAGACACCACCCTTAATGCAAGTGACTGTCTGCACAACTAGACATCACCCTTAATGCAAGTGACTGTCTGCACAACTAGACATCACCCTTAATGCAAGTGACTGTCTGCACAACTAGACATCACCCTTAATGCAAGTGACTGTCTGCACAACTAGACATCACCCTTAATGCAAGTGACTGTCTGCACAACTAGACATCACCCTTAATGCAAGTGACTGTCTGCACAACTAGACATCACCCTTAATGCAAGTGACTGTCTGCACAACTAGACATCACCCTTAATGCAAGTGACTGTCTGCACAACTAGACATCACCCTTAATGCAAGTGACTGTCTGCACAACTAGACATCACCCTCACTGCGAGTGACTGTCTGCACAACTAGACACCACCCTCACTGCGAGTGACTGTCTGCACAACTAGACACCACCCTCACTGCGAGTGACTGTCTGCACAACTAGACACCACCCTCACTGCGAGTGACTGTCTGCACAACTAGACACCACCCTCACTGCGAGTGACTGTCTGCACAACTAGACACCACCTTCACTGCGAGTGACTGTCTGCACAACTAGACACCATCCTCACTGCGAGTGACTGTCTGCACAACTAGACACCACCCTTAATGAAAGTGACTGTCTGCACAACTAGACACCACCCTCACTGCGAGTGACTGTCTGCACAACTAGACACCACCCTTAATGCAAGTGACTGTCTGCACAACTAGATACCACCCTTAATGCAAGTGACTGTCTGCACAACTAGATACCACCCTCACTGCAAGTGACTGTCTGCACAACTAGACACCACCCTCACTGCGAGTGACTGTCTGCACAACTAGACATCACCCTCACTGCGAGTGACTGTCTGCACAACTAGACACCACCCTTAATGCAAGTGACTGTCTGCACAACTAGACATCACCCTTAATGCAAGTGACTGTCTGCACAACTAGACATCACCCTTAATGCAAGTGACTGTCTGCACAACTAGACATCACCCTTAATGCAAGTGACTGTCTGCACAACTAGACATCACCCTTAATGCAAGTGACTGTCTGCACAACTAGACATCACCCTTAATGCAAGTGACTGTCTGCACAACTAGACACCACCCTCACTGTGAGTGACTGTCTGCACAACTAGACATCACCCTCACTGCGAGTGACTGTCTGCACAACTAGACACCACCCTCACTGCGAGTGACTGTCTGCACAACTAGACACCACCCTCACTGCGAGTGACTGTCTGCACAACTAGACACCACCCTCACTGCGAGTGACTGTCTGCACAACTAGACACCACCCTCACTGCGAGTGACTGTCTGCACAACTAGACACCACCCTCACTGCGAGTGACTGTCTGCACAACTAGACACCACCCTCACTGCAAGTGACTGTCTGCACAACTAGACACCACCCTTAATGAAAGTGACTGTCTGCACAACTAGACACCACCCTCACTGCGAGTGACTGTCTGCACAACTAGACACCACCCTTAATGCAAGTGACTGTCTGCACAACTAGACACCACCCTCACTGCGAGTGACTGTCTGCACAACTAGACATCACCCTCACTGCGAGTGACTGTCTGCACAACTAGACACCACCCTCACTGCGAGTGACTGTCTGCACAACTAGACACCACCCTCACTGCGAGTGACTGTCTGCACAACTAGACACCACCCTCACTGCGAGTGACTGTCTGCACAACTAGACACCACCCTCACTGCGAGTGACTGTCTGCACAACTAGACATCACCTTCACTGCGAGTGACTGTCTGCACAACTAGACACCACCCTCACTGCGAGTGACTGTCTGCACAACTAGACACCACCCTCACTGCGAGTGACTGTCTGCACAACTAGACACCACCCTCACTGCGAGTGACTGTCTGCACAACTAGACACCATCCTCACTGCGAGTGACTGTCTGCACAACTAGACACCACCCTCACTGCGAGTGACTGTCTGCACAACTAGACACCACTCTCACTGCGAGTGACTGTCTGCACAATTAGATACCACCCTCACTGCAAAGTGCAATATAATTAACCATTAAATAATAGCAACACTGATGCCTTAAAACACACGAATGGATCATGAAGCCATATATCATTTTATCAACATCAACACATACCTTTTGACTCTAGCTTCTTAGAAAAAGCTAGTGTATCAAAATAATAAACTTGTCTGACGGTCGAAGGGTCCACACGTCTGGAGGCCAGTAATGATGTATCATCTGGAAAAAAAAGACTTTAAAATTGTAACCACAAATGAGGATTCTTCTCAGAAGCAAATGTATTCATTATAATTACTTCCACTAGACGGGGCAAAAGTGTGGGGGGGGGAAGGGGGGGGGACACCATTGTGTAGCAGCTATACACACGCCTGCAGATTGGAAGGTCATGAGTTTCATTCCTGATTGTGCCAGACTTTAATAAAAAAAAACTATTCAGGTCGACCTAGTCTTAAATGGGTAGCAGGTAAAGTCTGGGAAGTAAAGGCAGCTGGCATGAAGCTGACCACATCACCCACCAAGTGTCGGTCTATATGCCCTAAACTCCTGAAGGTGTGGAAAATGGTCCCTTGAATACGAGGCAGTAAGCTGAGTTGTTCAGTCATGTACAATCAACTGCCCCTGAATGACTAAAGCTTAAATATTTTGGTTTTAGGTACTAAGAAGACCTAGATACAGACAAAATGATAACATCTGAGAAATTCTGTAATGATAAGGGATAAGTAATGGCCAATGTGACATCAGTGTGGCAGAGTTTCTGTAGATTTGCCATGCATACCTCATAATTCTCGTATGATATACATAAACACAAAATTAGCAAAGTTAGCTAGTTTTACTTAGTCGCATTTCCTTTACAGGATGTCACAAACTAACTCAGGATCTGTTAGTTCTGTGTGGTTTTACACTCAGTAATTTGTGACTGCTTTTTGAATAGTTTGACACTCACACCACTGTCATAATCAAATTAAATCACTCTGCTGCCAATGCATGTGTAGCTGAAATTAGCCCAGTATGACGGAATTACAAAACTGCATTCACAATCCCTAAGCTGGGGATTACAAAATGCATTAGCTATTTTTGAAATATTAGGCTAGTTCTTAGAGACCAAATGGTACATGAGCGTCAAAACAAAGCAGTATTATTCTGGCCACCTTTACTTTCTCAGAGTCTGAAACCTGTCCTGAGGGTTTGAGCTGCTTTCATGAGGCAGACTTGATATTTTGCCAGTTTTCCTGTGACATAAATATTCATGCACAAGGTGTCATCAATCTTCTGTGTCTGTCTGTGTGTTGCCTCTTCTTCCATGAATCATGCCTTTAATTACTGTTCTTTCTGAGCTGTAGTGACATTTAATATGGCCCAAGCATGCTAACACAGGCACACACAAAAAGCGTGTGCTAACTGGGGACTAACACAAACATAGCAATACTCATACATCCCTGCTGGGACAAAAATCGTGTTCAAGTGCCAAGTGTTCATGTTAAATGAGTTTCTGTTACCAAGGTTTTACAGTATTTCACTTCTGAAATACAATGCTGTTTATGAGTCGGTTGTCTTTCGTGTTTCACACTTGTCAACTGTCAATATTAAATTAGTTATTAGTGACGACAATCCTCCAAGCACTCTGGGCAGATCCATAGGCATTCAGATCTCAAAAGACCCACAAGCGTTTCCCGACTGATTACATCCATTTTGATTAATCAGACATTGTGTGCCATTATTGAAATGCTCATGCTCCAGGTTGCTCTCCTGTAACATGCATTATTATATCTATTACATGCATTATTAATAACAGGCATTGGTACTCTGAAAAATAAGTGCTTAGAAGGGCCGAATTTCAGATGGGTCCGCGTGCCCAATTTGTAACCCTTTGAAAATAAAGTTTGTTCGTTCGTTCGTTTCTCCCATATCCAACAATCTGGACAAGGATAATTCATACAGAGTACTGCTTGATGTGATCTTCTTTGCGAAATGCATCTCACATCATATATTAAATAAGAATATTAATCAAGAGTTGAAAACATTTACATGCTAGCACTTATTCATTATCATCCTTTCTGTGCTGTTAGAATCACACAGGGCTCACATTTAATTCCTCCACACCGCTCTATTGCTTGTAGCTCTCTCAATTTTGGACATGGAGTTCAGCCCATCATTTTTAGCATCTCATAATAACTTTCTTCTTAATGTTTCCCTTGGACGTCCTCTTTTTCTTAGACCATTTGTTTTCCATTTCCCTGCTTGATTTGTAATTCTTTGCTTAGTGTGGCCAATATATCTCCACCTTCTTTCTCTTATTGCAGTCGGTCCAGACATCTCTCTGATCTGCTCACTCTATTTGAATTCATCACATTATATGTGCATCATTTTTCTCAGACACATATTTTCAAATGCATTTAATTTATGTTCCATATTTTTGGTAGTACTCCAACTTTCGCTGGCCTATGTTAGAACTGAAACAACACAAGAAATGAAGATTCATAGTCTGGTCTTAAAGCTGTATAGCTTGGAGCTCCATATTTTGTTGAATGTTGAATTAAGAATCAAGATCAGAGCACTCAGGACATTCCCATAAGTGCCCCGTCCCCATCTTCAGGATCAAGGAAGGTGTTCCAATTTCGATGGTACCAGTAACTGTTACATCTGTCTCGCCTTTTTACTGAGTGTCGGCCAGATTCCCTGGTAACTCCTCACAGTGCCATTCTTCTCAGATCATAATGATCTATTTGTACCTCTTCACCACTCACTCACTCCCAAAGGGCCCTCACAATATCGAGCTTGTCATACATTAATCCGGCCTGACTGTATGCCTGTTTATTTCCTAACATACTGGCATGACCTGAAGAAAATATCAAAAGGATGCTAGCTACCCAGGACCTCTGAAGCGATGCTTACAACTCTACATGGAGCATGCCTGTGTCCACCTCACATCACCTTGGCGAGAATCATCATGAAACATTTGTTGAACTTCTGATTCTGCAGCGCAAGCTGGCCAGTCCCTGCACTCACGATCTCAAGTGATTAGGACCCTACACAAGCCTGATTCTTGCTCAGACACAGTGGCCCACTCCTCTCCTGACCCAAATTTATGAAGCCTGCATGCATGTCTAATTGTGTCTTCAGCTTGCTCCATCCAAGACCTTCCTCTTTTCAGTCTGTGACCCTTAGCTCTACCTATTGTTTCATGCAGGAGGTGCTTCTTGTCTGCATCTACTCTGAGATATGTTTTGGCTTGCAGAACTTTGAGGCTATCTGAAATAGTTACCAGTGCAAGTATATATCGCATACATTCTACCAGGGTGTATCTTGTACATACCAGAACTACCCATATGGCTTTATTCTGGATGCGTTCAAGTTTCATTACCTAACTCTTTGACACGTAAGCACTGTAAAGGCTTTTAAAGACTGCTGTTGCTATGCCAATGCGTATCACAGTTTCCTTCATTGTATCTCCTTGAGAGTTAAAATTGCAACCTAAATAGTTGAAATGGTCTGTTATCTTTACTGGTTTGTTCTTGAGCAGGACATCCAATAATTTGTTACTGGTATCTTTGTTTTCTCATAACTTATTTGTAGTCCTATTTTTGATGCTGTAATCGAAAAATAATCTGTTTTTGTTTGTACATCTTTGTTATTTTTACTGAACAGAACAGTATCATCTGCTAAATAAAGATCTTTCAGTTGTCTATTCTCTACCCAGTCAATGCCAGTTTTGCCTTAGCAACATTTTTATCATTACCCAATCAATGGCTACTCCAAACAACAAGGCAGGTAGAATGTAGCCTTGTTTCACTCCAGTTTCTATCAAAAACCAGTCACAGACCATTTCCAGTGTATACTGCAGACTCTGAACCATCGTATACATTTCTAATAATGCATCTTATTTTGGCTGGGATGCCGTAGTATTCCAAAATTCCCACAGTGAAATTCTATGTAAGCTATTTAAGGCCATCTTGAAATCAATAACATTAAGGATGAGAAGTTATTGCTTCTCAATATGTTCTTCTAGCGTAAGTCTCAGGGTAATTATTTGATTCAAACAACTTTTTCCAGTTCGAAAACCATTTATTGCCTGAAGTATATCTCCTCATTCATCTTTGGATGTTTGCACTGGACCCTGATTTTATGAGTATGCAGTAATATTGGCTATAAACTCTGACCTCTTTTTTCAGGGCCATGTTAGCGCAGTCGATAGGAGACTTGCTTTCAAATCCAGCTGTGACTCGCTGCAGCCCATGGCTGGTGTTTGAAACCAGGTGGTTCCCGGGGTTCACTGGCATTAGGTAATGGGTACCAGAGTTAACACTCTGGGGTAAATGGAGGAACGTTGCTGTAGCTACGGAGTTGCGTGTGCACAGTGACACAGGTGGACAATTTCTTATCAGCTGTCGGTACTGGTGGCAGAGCACTTATGGTTTATAACTGTGAGCAATGACGTTGATTCACATCTCCCGACCTTATTTTTACCATGGGATACAGATGAATAACATACCTGGAGAGTTACTGGATGGTCGATCCACATTTGATTTTAAAACGTTAGGGTTTGGTTTCTCTGCAGCACTCCCTGAAGATGATATATCTCTGCGAGCATCTGCAGAAGACTGTGAGTTTAAATTACTAACTTTGCCAAGTGAATCACCCATACTCGAATGTAAGAGTGAGGAAGCAGAGGTTGCTTGTTGTAGTTGTTCAATATTCTGTTTCAAAGCTGGAGCAAGCAGATTACTAAAACGACCACTGGACTGTGTATTGTAACCACCATTCGGACCCTTGTCAGTGGTTTCTGTTGACACTGTCGGTGGCACACTGTCATAAGGACTATCTTTTCTGAAGAGACTAGATGAAGTGGAGTACAATTTTCTCACGGTCGTTTTCGTGACCGTGCCGAGAAAACATATCTCAACCATTGCAGCAGTTTGAATCAAGTTTCGGTGAATTAATCGTTTCATGATTATCACAGTGAGATTTAATTTAAAAATATGACTGATTATAAAAACGTATAAACATAAAATGCAGAGGAATCTACGACGGTGATCAGTAAATATTTCGATACTGGCAATCTGCTTCGGAGAAAAGAAACTGCTGATGAAACTAGTAAAGGCATTACGTCCAGTGTTGCCACTTTTCTTTGACAAAAAATATCCAAAACGGTGTAAAAACATATCTAAAAAGATCTAAATCTCCGTGGAAAAGATCTAGAAAAAACATCAAAATTTAAAAAAGTCAAAAATCACAAAGCTTTTGTTATGACTTACCATACATAATCATGTCCTCACCTTCACTGTTGTCTGCCTCACAAGATCCACAGGATAAACTTAGCTTGGATAATGAAGTTGAAGCTTCAGATCCGAAATGACTCTGGTATGCTTTAGCTGTTCAAATTTCTTTATAGCAGTAGGCTTATTTCTCTAGTCTCATCAGGCCGAATTTTAATGGTACGATAACATTTAAGAGGTCAAATTTCATCCTGTTTTTTAGGTTAGATTTGATATAATTCCTAGCACTTAAAACTCTTTCTACGTCAGCATTTGAGTGGGGTAGTATCATGGCAGACATGGCACTTTAAAGAGCTTACAGAATGGACTGTTTGATGAGGCATCTTTAAATTGTCTCACTTCACTCCAAAACGCTTTAGTTTCTGTTTTGTTTGTCCATTCAGCTAACTTTATTTTGGTTAACTGGTATTCTGCTTCCGCGACACTATTATCAGTAGCCCCTAAAAATTTCATAACTTTACAATATTTAGGTATGTACTTTATTGGCTGAAGTATGTTGCTCACAGAAAAAAAGTGAAATATTTTTCAAAACATCTAGATTTTCAGGAAGTCTCTGCTTCAATTGCTTCAATAATGAGATAAGGAAATCTTGACAGCGTTTTCTTAAGCTGTTCTTTTCATTCTCTGTTAACAGTCCTTTTGTTTTTAAATCATCAATTTTTGATTCGGTTTAATATCCAAGGTGTGGCTTAGGAGCCAAATAGCTCTCTATAGTACAAGTGAGCAAATCAGCTTTAGAAGTTGGCAACACCAGTCTTTTACCGAGTGAAATAGCAAGGTGAGATCATCAAGTAATTTAACTTAATTAACAAGTTTAGATTCGAACAGTTTATTAACTTTTTGCACTTGCATTAGAATAGGTTATAAAAAGAGAATGAATGACACATTTTTTTTTCATCACTGTACATTCCATATAGTATTTCAGCTGTGTAGCACTTTTCACTTTGTCTTGTTATTTCAAAGTGTGTCTTCAACTTCAGCCATTGCTTCATAATTCTTTCAACAGCTGGTTAAATTGATAACCATCTAGTTTTGCAATCTGACAGAATTTTCGGTGGTGTGGAACCATCATTCAAGGCTGTATATAATGTATTGTATTGTTGTTGTCTGACAAATGATTTGGAAAACCAGAAAAGTGTTTCAGCAATAAGGTATTCCAAATTCCTTGGTAAATATTTACATGAAGCATGTGATAATGCTAGCTGCAAAGAATGACGCATACATTTATAAGTATTAACGATGGGTTAGCTTCCGTCAACTTGGCATAAACGCCATTGTTTATACCAACCATCACTGAGGCATTATCAGTACCATTTAGAGCCAAATTCTTCAAGCCTAACTGTTTCCTGATTAAAAGGTCCTTCAGTTTCTAAACTATACTTTCTACATCACACTTTTCAAATTGAATTAGTCCAAGATTGTTTACAAATCGATCAAATGGTCACATTTTGAAACTGCGCAGTGACAAATTAAAAACATTGCGACTGATACTTCAACTTTTGATGATTCATTTATCAGTATAGTTCTGAAAACAGCTGTCAGCGGTGTAATATCTTTAAATGAAACTGCATTTTTATGCTTTTTTAGTCTCTGCATGACTCTTTGAGTTTTGTATTTTCGCTTTAATTTCACACTTGCAGCACTTACAACAAACTTTGGTCATATCCCCAGTTTTTAATTTTGTCATCATGCAACCACTCTTTCCAAATTTTTTGCTCAAACTTTACTTTTGGCATGTTGAAAGTTTTTTTTTTCAAAGTGAAAGCCACATAAGAAGGTGAGCAATTATGTTTTTTAAAATCACATGAAAAAGTAATTATTAAATTGACAATGAAAGAAAAAAAATCTATAAAATATCTAACTCCATATGAAAAGTTCTAGAAAAATATTTACGATCTAAAAGTCAAAAACATTATCTAAATGCAATGAAAAAGATCTAAATTTGGATATAAAAGATCCAAAGTGGCAACACTGATTACGTCCCTCTACAAGAGTACGTTCCCCTTATTTAAGGGAGTCGTTGTTATGTTCAATTACACTATCACAACTTTAAAATAATAATTTATTAGCATTTAACCAAAATTGCTACACTATTATCAAATAAATTTAAACAATGAAATTAATGGATTTTTTTCTGAGGGCTTTTTTTGCAACAAAATAACATAAATAAGCTAACCTCATTTCACACGTCAATGAATGATCATTGATGGAAGTGACCGGTGTGCAGACGACGTTTGTCCTCAGAAATTGGACAATAACTAGAACAAGGACACAATGTCAACTGTACCGTCAGATAAGGAAGCTGGCGATAATACAGGCCAACAGCTCGATGGTTCCGAGACACAGACTAGTAAAGTGGAAGATATAGTGGTTTATTACTTCCCAACTTCATATTCATCTCAAAAGGTATGTATTATTAATTATCTCTACGCATTGTTTGAATTCATTGTATTGTCACTCGTCATTGTATTGTATTCATTGTTTTCTCTGATACTTATATTCTTTACGTCCTTCTTAGGACGTAATTTTTTGTTATTTGAAGCCCCACTCTGGCTTTTGCTGGGGGCCGCAATATAGGCGGGCCATCTATATGAATATGGCCAATTGTCTGAACGCGGTTTCTGGGACCTCTCCACGGTGATCCTCATTCGCATGGTGGCACTTTGTGTCATCGGGTGTTTATCGCTTGTGTGATGTCCTGGTGGGGTAGAAAGTCAGTCAGTCAGTCAGTCATTGTTTTCTTATTAGTTAGTGCACTTTATAATAAGAGAGCAGTTTGAAAAAATAAAACTATTAAAAAGTTTCTTAACTATGTAATGCTTTTCCTTACAGATACAGCAGCCTGGCTGTTAACCGCAACGTCCAAAATGTTGTTTTAATTGCTATTGCAGAAGAAACATGATTTTGGGCTATCTTCCGAATAACAGTACCAAATTATTGAAGCCAAAAAAATACCCTAACAGGGCCTCAGTCACGTGTCACTTGCAGACTTCCGGGGACTATACCGCCACCGCCGAGAGTATCTCCCACGCCGCTACCCACGGCATGGATTGAGGCTAAAGTAGATGCCTGGGACTCATGAGCAAATAAAATAAAGGAAGCTGCAGGAGATGCGGTAGATTCTGCTCGTGAGTCCCAGCCATCTAGTTTAGCCCCAATCCACGGCGCGCATAGCGGCGTGGGAGATACTCTCGGCGGTTGCGGTAGTCCCCGGAAGTGCGCAGTTAAAATCACAGGAAGTCCGCAGTTGACACGTGACTGAGGCCCTGTTAGGGTATTTTTTGGGGCCTTGATAATTTAGGACCTGTCAGCGATCTAATTTACTATATTCATTTTCTATGGCTCACTAGGTAGGCCAGCTAACAGACTTCACTACCCTACGAACACACTTAAGACACTCACCTGCTGAGTACAAACAATCTTTAATGTACAACAAACAATACAACTAGTAACACCTCAGCTAAGCTGGCAGTCCTTATCCTGAACGCTGGCGTTGAGCAGCTTTTACATTTACTGGTCAACCCGAGCCGTTCCCATGGATCCCCAAGGACACGATTTTAAACTAACAGTTTATCAGTGCTGACTAAGCCGCCGTCTATTGCCACGCAGGACTCAGTAACTCACGTAAGGTGTATGGCCTAAGTGTGACTGGGCAGTGTTACCGCCATTAACAATGCGTATCACACATTCACTAGCTGCTTAACAGATACTGCGTGGAACGTCTACTATACAAGGAACATTAACTCTACACTATCTCGTCGAAACATTAAATGGAAACACAGCCTATCTCAAAAATACTAACCACAAATAGTATTCAATCTAGCCGTCACTAAAACTTAACATACGTTTACCTAGTCCAAACGCTAGGTCTTCCCCAGTCCAATGTCCACCACACAACTCTCCTCCAGCGAGCTCTGTCCAAGCTTTTTGTTCCCCTGCCGCGTTCATCTCTCGACACGCGGTAATACGTGTTAACCGTGGGACCTGGCTTAGCCAGTCAACTTGACCCAGTTTATTCCGTGGTCAAATTGCCCGGTCTCACACTAAGCTTTACTGAGGGTCAACTCGTTCATACGTGATGTTTCACTATCATCAACTCCGTTCATCCCGCAGCTGAACTGGCCTCTGACAGGACCATTATTCGGAAGATAGCCTGATTTTGTTGTTTCTAAAGCTGGCTATCAGCTGTGACTAAAAAGCTGAGTGGGGGAGGGGGGGGGCGATTGTTAAATAAAAAGGGGTCAGGCACACACAGAAAACTGTTTTCATGATTTCTTGCTATCCTGCTGTGTATTTTTCTATTTGTGTAAACACTTTTATTATAAACTAGCTGTACCCGGCCACGCGTTGCTGTGGCATAGTTTGGCTAAAAGGAAATAAAAGAAAATAGAAATAGCACGTGTCTAATACAATCATTGTCTGCTAAGATATAGAGATAATCTTTGACTCCCCCCCACCCCACCACAACTAAATCCACCTACTGCTCTCTCCCTCATCAAAGGTTTTTGGAAAAGAAAGACAATGGTAATCACACGTGTCTAATATAGTTAATGTCACAGTAACAAAAATGGGTATTTGGTTATCACATGCTAAAGCTGTGTGTATTTTTATAGGAGACGGAAGTAAAGCTACAACTGTACTTGTAAATAACAAAGTAAGTCGTAAAAAAAATAGAAAAGCGGAGGTAGCATTAGTAAAATATAAACAAATTAAGTAATGAGAACTTGAAAATCACATGTAAAGCTCTTTAAGTTCTCTTAAATTTAAGTCATTACCCCCTCCCCTCTTCCACCAACTACTGTTCTCTCCCTCTTCGAAAGATTTGAAAATCATTACCTGGCGATATATATTGTTGTTGCTGTAACTGACATTGACATCCCTGTTCATCCGGACTAAAATGGGGAGCAGGAATTGTAATAGGTAGTGATTGGGGCTTGTGTAATATTTACCACATCATCTTTCAAGTACCAGTACAACTACTACCACGACCACCACCACCACAGTAGCTAAAACAATGTCACTGCTATCTGTTTTACCATCGGAGTAGACAGGGAGTCGTGAGCCAGAAGATTTGGTGCCGCATGGCTAGTGCTGTCGCCACAGACTGGTCAGGTTAGGATGTATAATTTCGCTTCCCGACAGAAGAACGCCCTAACCTTACCGGCGGTCTCCACATGAGCGCACTACGGTGTAACAGCCCAACCACAACTATTACTGCTGCTGCTACTTTGAGTGGGTAAAGCAGTTACTGTGACTTAAAGCTCTCTCAGTTAATAGTTTCCCTCCCCCCCCCCCCCCCCCCCCCCCCTCCTTCCCCTAAATTCACCGACAACTCTTTCCCTCATTGAAGTAGTTGGGAGAAAAAAACACACTTGAAAAGCAAATGAACACAGGAAAAAAAAAACCATAATTAGGAAATGAACGCTATGGTAAACAGCACAGCTTAAAATTCCAACGAAGATGAAATAATTAAATCTAAACGAAAATAAATGTAAGGAAAGCTATGAAATGTCAGCGTAACCATGCAATCGCAAAGTTTAAAAATGAAATCATAAGTATGCGAAATAGTCAAATTTAATTATCAACTGGTTTACCCACATACCTGTCCTTTTTTTTTTTTTAAGTATTAATGGCCACATGGCTAGTGCTGTAACCACGACAGAGCAGATGAGGATATTATTTTAGTCCGGGGTAAAAAAAAAATTAACTACTGCGGATTCGAACCCTGGTCTCCCGCACAGGAACCCAGTGTTCTAACCATTCGACCAAGCAGCCACTTAATCGGATCAACGAAAAGAGAACTTAACTATTAGAAATGTGTGTCCCTACTACTGTGTCCCGATTATAACACAACTCAAAACCGCAGGCAATTGTTTTCTCGTAGACAGATACTCCAGATATATTAATGAAACGGCACAACAATAGAAATCGCACGTGTCTAACACAGTTAATGAAGTTAATGTCGCAGTCATTGTCTGTGCCGACGTCGAGATAGTCCTTGATTCCCCCCCCCCCCCCCCCCCCACCCCATCGAAGGTTGTTTGAAAAAAAAACAGAAAATAGAAATCGTGTTTAATATGGTTATTGTGACATATATAGAGATAGTCTTGTTTGCTGTACCACGACCTACTCTATGTATTAGAGAAGGCGTTGGCTGCGGTAATTCGCCGGCGGATGGTGGAAGCTTTGCGTTCTGACTACGGCGCATGCGCAATTACTAACGTGGCTATAATTAGAAATCACTAAAATTATCAATATTAGTTTCGAATATTATGGCTTAAATTGTGGTAACCTATCTCTAACAGTGACAGGTTGAATTTCAAACCATGATGGTTCAACATCCGGTATCAAAACAAACATATCCTGAAAATTTCAGCTAAATCGGTTCAGTAGTTTCCGAGTCTATAAGGGGCAAACAAACACACAAACATTGATTTTTATATATATAGATATAGAGTCAGCAACTGGAAAAAAGGAGGCCGGTCACAGAGAGGAAATAAATTAGGGTGATACCTACCATAGGGAACCTCAAGGGCCTGGAATACTGAAGAAGAAGAAGACTATTATTATAAATATGCTCTTCCTTTCAATGTTGCAGGTGTTAGTCAGCATATACGAAAAGCATTTAAAATTCAAGCCATGCATTGTCAGCCTGTTTCATGGCCAACACATGGAGCCCTGGTATGTCAGGCTCAACCCTCACGGTGCACATGTCCCAGTCTTGGTCCATGGGGAGCATGTCATCAGTGATCCAGATAAAATTATTGAGTATGTGGATAAACTTCCAGGTAGGCTCTTGATGCATCCTGTATATTTTCATCATTTAATGTTTTCCTCAGAGAGAAACTTTGGGCACTCTTCCAAAGACCAGTCCCAAATTATTCACTGCAAAAAACATCCCTTCGAGAACCTCAAGAGGTTATGTAGTAAAAACTTTTAGGCCAAAATCATCAGTTTCCACTTCTGCCGTTATTGCTCGATGGATAGCAATGATTTGACGAGCTAAGCGCCGTGGGGAGAAATAGTTTTCATTCCTTTGAAGCGGCATGGGGAGGAGTAGATTATGATCCATTGTTTAAGTTGTGTGGGTAGGATTAGTTTTATATTAACCCTTTTAGCACGGGAAGTTTTTCAGAGGTCTAGCCAAAAACACGGAGCATTTTTTTAGTGAATTTGGTTATTACTTTATTTAATTTTTTTGACAGATTTCTGTTGTTCTGACCCCCATGAAATAATATATCTATTTGAAGGATCTAGATTGAAGTTCATGATTTTCACAATATCGTTAAAATTAATTGATGTATATGCAAATTATCTCATTTGCATATCTAAAAATAGAAAATTTGAATTTGAATTTTCAACTTCAATGCTTGAAACATAAAACTAAAAACAAAAATTTTTTTTTATTTGAAATCTTTTTATTGATCTTTGGCCTTTTTGCAAATGTTGTAAGCAATTCAATAGTCAAAAACAGGTATATATATATATATATATGAAACAGCAATAATATCTTTAGGTGACATGTGTTTTTCACTATCAGTCAGCACTAGAAATGGATGTGCCGGAGGTGTTCGGGTGGATATACCCTGAGCCATGGTTGGGCTGTGGTCTGAACACAACAGCGTCCCCATCTGATTCCCCACTATTACTACTAACACTAAATCCTGCATCAGTATCAACAGAATTAGTGTCATCACTTGATTCAAATGTTTTATCAACATCAAGTTTAGGGGCAGAAACATACGAGTCAGACATACTTTTAGCTGTTCAGGTCACTATCTAAAAAATTCAACAACAATTTTCACTTCGATACCAAACACTCGAAAGTCGCCATGTGTAAAGCTGATACAGCAGTTAATATAAATGAATCACTTTAAGTGTTTCAAAATAGGAGATTTCTTAGCGGTTCGAGGCGAAGCACGATCGGGCCGATGATCGGCCGTTCCGTGTTTTTGGCCAGACATCCGCCGGCTGATAATCGGCCCGTCCGTGCTAAGAGGGTTAAAGCTTTGTGGTGAGGAATAGTTTTTTATCCATTGTTCGCCTTACCTGTGACTCGTCTTGTGGGTTTCAGGGCCACATGTTTGATGAAAAAAAAAATTAGCTCCACTGCCACCTTAAAAGCATGTTATAAAATGCGTCAAATTAGGAATTTGCTGAAATCGGATGTGTTAAGGCGAAAGGCGCAGATATCGCAGCCTAGCTGTAAACCACAACACAACGTCACAACTGCCCTTTCTAGGTCTACAAAAAATTATCATCTGGCGGGGCATCAAACACTGGTCACCAGCGTGACCGGCAGATTACTTACAACTGTACTACCGAAGACTCAAGAATTTGGTTGAAATTAAATTATAAAATAACACAAAGCATAGTTCGTAGTGTTCCTATTCCATATTTTTAACTATATGACCTCTTGAGGCCCTGAATGGGAGTTTTTTTAACAGTGAATAATTTGGGACCAGAATTTGGAAGAGTGCTGAAACTTTGTAGTGGTTTCTTTAATATTATATGTGTTTGTATTTATCTGTATTTTTTCATCTCTTTCTCATAACTTTTTTGGCTGGCAGGTTTCTTTCTTTTCTTGAATATGGTTTTCAGATCACACTGTTTAAATTTAAAAAAATTTAAAAAAAAGATTTTGCTTTACCGTGTAACTGTGTAACTTTTTATTTGTATTGTCTTTATGCCAGACAAAAAGGTAAAATATACATTCTGTGAGACAGACAATTGAGTAAAGAGTAGTTTGCAGTATTGTTACACTAGTAATATTTCCCTGTTTGAGAATCAGCATACAAACATGATATCTATATTATGTGTTGAAGAAGGAAAGCAAACCCAGTCCGAATATATACAGGTCAGAAGTTAAATATGCTAGCTCCAAGGCAAATATTTCAGACTGGCTATTTGCCCAGTGTTATGCTGTCCTTGTCAGCATTACTGCACATTGGACATTTCAAAGCAGGCTCAGTTCTTTACCCAAAGTACCCCTGCAGACTCTTCCTAAAAAATTTTGGTTATAATATATCCTGTCTTAATCCCGAAGACTGAATAGACAATGGATTTTTTAATTGGTAGTATGCAGTAGGGCATAATGTTTTATTTTTAGGCATCATTTCTTTTTAGAGCCAATGTAACAGACACTACTACGTGGTGAGTACTGGCACCATTTTTTTGAGACCAAAAAAAAAAAAAGCCCTAGCATAGACCAGTGTTCTCTTTCTTAGGAACAAGGAAGAAGATGGAGATTGAATCACTGATACAGCAAAGTATTTGCAGAGAATTAGCGATAAAGAGTCATTGCGTACAGGAAAAAAATGTTAAGAATTAGGAGCTACAGATGGAACCAAACTAAAACTACCAGAAAATTATTGTCACCTGCTGTTTTGTCAAGTAGAATATAGCAGACTCATTGATATTGTAGCAATGAATAACAGTTGATACTCATTAATTTTGTGCTACTACAGATTACAGTAACTAGAACAGTTTTGAAATTCACAGTGTAGTAATATTTCAGTATATTTCATTGACAGGCACAAACAACCTGATACTCGTTCCTGGTAGATCTTCACTTGTGGGTCAGCAGGTCGCCAAATTTCAGGAGACTTTGGAAAAAATCCCAGTTGATGTCATTTCATACGGGATTATCTTCCACCCGCAGTTGTCAGAAAATGGATGCCAGCTTCCAGTGGCCATACAGAGGAGTATGAGAGGTGAGCAAGTCATTGTTGACTCGTTGTATGTTGGAAATATTTCAGTGAGTATAATTACTTTGATGCAATCAGTAGTGCCTCATATTCCTCAGCAGAGAAGAGTCTAGCCTGATATACCAGGGCTTCATGAGTTGGCCATAAAACAGGCTGGGCTTGTAAATGCTTTTCATGCTTACTACAGCCAGGGCACACCATCACACACACAACAGTTCAAACTTTGAGCAAACTGAAAATTATATTCAAGGGTTACCTTTATTAACATTCTTTACCCCCTGCCCGATTTCCTAAATTGTTGCTTCGGAACCCTCACAGAGATAATCTAGTTTTAAAGTTCTAGTATTCTGTTGTGAGAACATGATGTAGTTATATCAACAATAGGGAAGTCAAAGTTTGCATAAGGATGTTTGAGGAAAAGCACATACAGCTTTAGAATATATTTATATATGTTTACAGGCTTTGAGAAAGCTTTTGAGACAGTAAAACATGAACAGCTAAGTACATACCTTTAAGAAATATACTAAGGTGGGAAAAATTGTGTTAGGGCTATTTATAGACAAAGTGAAAGCGCCATTAGAACAGACTGGTTCCCAGTAACATCAGGTGTAAGACAAGGTTGTGTATTATCACCTTTACTTTTCATAATATTTATGGACAATATTAATAAAATAGACCTAACACCAACAGATGTCGATAAACAGGAGGACTTCAGTGAGCTGCTCTTTGCCGACGATCAATGCATATTTCACAGTGATAGTAAACAGCTGCAAGACCACATGAACCTACTACACGACAGTTGCCTCAAGCATCATATGAAGATCAATACTGAAAAGACAGAAGTCATGAGCATAAGTAGAGAGCAACAGACCATCGACATAAAGATTCTAGATCACAGCCTAAAACAAGTGCAAGAATTTAAATACCTGGGAAGTATCTTTACATCCAATGGTAAAATAGACAGAGAGATTGAAGCAAGAATCCAACAAGCCAACAATGTCGCATACCAGCTTGCCCCAATTTTAAAACACCCTGCTGTCCCAGCTGAGATAAAAAGACAAATTATAAATACAATCTTTATACCGACATTAGGTTATCAATGTCAGACTTCGACATTAACAAAAGAACATGAGAGAAGACTAACCACCTGTGAAATGAGATGTTTGAGAATGGCTGCGAATAAAACCAGAAGAGATCGAGTGAGAAACGATGTGATTACAAGAACTATTGGAACCATACCCATCGTTAAATTTATTGAGAAGCAAAGAATGAAATGGTTTGGTCACCTAATGAGAATGGAACCAACGATGCCAGCATCAAGAGCATACAACATGAAAATCGAAACAACAAGAGGCAGGGGAAGACCAAGAAGAAAATGGATTGAAGGAGTCACGGACAACTTGAGACTTCATAACATCACGGCATATGAAGCGACTGAGCGCGCCCTGGCTCGGTTGCCGATCATCTGATAGACTGCGACGCCTAGCGGCACAAGCAGATTTTGACAAAAGAAGAAGAAGAAGGGAAAGATGTCACACTCATTTGTAAACTGTGCCAGGAATAAGTGGCAATAATTCATTATGAAAAGTTACTCACCAGGGACGCAGATGACACAGTCCTCCTTTGGAACAGAGTAAAGGGAATAGAAAATCTAATATTGTCTTTCCAAAAGCACAGTGAAGATCAAAATCTGTTCTTAAATTTAAAGAAAATGAAAATAATGTCCACAGATAAAACTGGCTGTCACCCAAAAATAACAATACATGATGAAGAAATTGAAAATGTCACAAACTTTGAATATTTAGGCTCTATAATAAACAGCAATGGAGACTGTTTGACAAAAATTAAAAGGAGGATGGCCATAGCAATGCAAAGATTGAACAGTCTTAAAAGTCTATGGTTAAGCACCAGCAAGGAGATCATAATTAGAATTTTGAGAGCATGCATCTTCCCTGTGGCTACATACGGATGTGAGTCGTGGACTATCTCTCAGTCCTTAAGAAAGAGAATAGGGGCTTTTGAGCTGAAATGCTATCGAAAGATTCTCAGAATATCTTGGACAAAGAAGAGGAGAAATACTGACATCTTGAAAGATCTGAACATCAAGGAAGAGCTGTATCTCCTTGAGTGTGAAAGTACATGAGGCGGGAGAGCTGGCGAGAGACCGAGTTTCTTTCAAGCAGACCATGATGAGAGCGACGTTCTGCAAATGACCTGCTACATGATGATGACTCACCAGGGACATATACAGCAGAGGAGTATGACGGTCACCATGCCTCTTCAAATTATATGAACATAAATTGTAAGCAAGTTGGAGAAATTCCTAGTCTATATATCAATGAACGACAAACAAACAACCTAATGAATGCAGAAAGCAAGTTTCAACTGTGAAACTATATGTTATTGACCTACTTTTGCTTATAGCTCTTCTAATCTGATTTTAAAGTTTCACTATTATTTTATTTGGCTCAGTGGCTTGAAGGTTTTTTGAATGCATTTAACAGTCTTTATTGTACTAGGTTCGATTTCCATGATAGATTGTTAGAAAAAGGCGGCTCTCATGGCTTTCCAACAGTGGTGCAAGCAGAGCTTTCTTTCTAGTGAAAAAAGGTGCCAGTACTCACCACTCAGTTTCTGTTAGCCCTAAAAAATATATCTAAAAAATAGTTTTTTATTCTGAGAACTATCATTTTAAAAAGCTGTGAGTATAAGAGCCCTTGCATGAAAAAGATCGTGGGGTCTCACCCAAGATAATAAAAAAATGCACATATCCCCACCAGTTGACCTCCATTGTAGAGACGGCAGAGTTTTTGTTTCTTACTATATTGTAAAACATGGTACTTTTGTGAACATTTGACAGAAAATTTTGCAAATCGGCTGCGTTACCTAATTAGCCTGTCCACGGTGTATCCAGATCTTAGAGACTGCTACCTTGCTAAGAGCCAGACCGCAGCAGAGAAATATGACCTTATAACTGATGAGGATAAGGTGAAAGGTCATATTGATCAACTGGCAAACTTTTTTGAAAACGTGGAGGGTGAACTGAGGCAGAGATATAGTATAGATGGTAAGTTATTACTTTAGTATCATTGAGTTATGAGTTAGATTATTTTCACAACACTCCAGACACATCCATAGGTGCTCAGGTTCCCCTTTCAGCATATTCATCAGCGTCGCACAGTTAATAGTACCAATCCTGTGCTGGTTGACAAGACTTTTTGTGGCTCCAGTGTGCTTCTTGTGCTTGGCTGTGACTATCTTTACTCCCAGTTCTCGTATTCTTAGCAGTGATGTGGACATGTTGCTTCCAAAATCCTCAGAACTTACTATCTCTCTAAGGGCATTGACAATGTCTGTGTGATCCATGGGCCAGCCATCTGCAATTAATGGGGAACCTGCCAGTCTATCAGCTCTTCCATTACCAACAACACCTGCATACCCTTGGACAAATATGAAGCTAACTGCACACACAGAGTTTTGCAAAGACTCAATCCACTGTCTGCATATGGAATCTGCCTCAGCCTGCCTGAACATGCTTAAAAAATCACTCAACGCACACACATATGCATGCACACACGCACGGAAATAGTCCTGTAATTCTAGCCACATGAGATTTTGTTTGTGTTACCGCCATCACCTCCATCGTCATGCTGCTGGTAGTCAAGGAGAAGGCACCGATGGCTTTTTGGACTGTTCTGCCCGAAGAGCGAGCTATAAATGCCCATGCACTCGTATGTCCTCGTATAACTGACCTGTCTGTGAAGATCAGCACACCTGTCCCATCTGATTTGTCACTGATAATCACGCATATCTTGGCATTGACAGCAACGGGATTCTGCTAAAACTCTTATCAAGCGTGACGACACAGAAGAAGGTGAGATTCAGCGCTCTAGACACTGGTATCCATTCCTCACCTGGATGGATATCTGCAAGGCTGCAAACCTGCAGGATGTCATCCTGATTTGCCCCTTTTAAGTCTATTGCCCTTTTTCCTGAAGAGCATGTGGAGCAAAGGGTGCATCAGATCTGAGCTTATCTTGAGGTATGCACAAGCCCTCCAGATCTTGATCCTGTAATTCATGTTAGAGAAGTCAAGAAGGTATCTCACTGCTACATAAAAGGTGTCTCTAGTGCACCCCAGAATAATGCCCTTTGCTTTGTTTTGCACCTACTCAAGTCTCAGTCTGAGCATGGCTACAGTGAGAATGGCTAGAGCCTATTCAATGGGAGAAAGAACAGTTCCCTGGAACAGAAGCAGAAGCAGTTTGCTCAATATTAATGGCATGCATACTTTTGTTATCATGTGTTCTTTAAAGGACAGGCTCACTTCAAGATATGTCCTCAGGTTTGTTCTTATCAAAATTTCACCACTGCTTTCCACTGCTGGTAAGTCTACGTTCACTATATGCGTGTTCAAGGAGAATCACGTTACTGAGGCCTTCGAATGGTTGACATGAGCATTAGAATCTGCACACCAGGAGGAGATGCGATCATGTTCACTCTGCATTGAATTGGCAATCTCTTGACGATCTCTTCCATGTCGGTATACCAAGACGTCATCAGCAAATGACAAGGTCCTGCCACTTCCGTGCAACTGCTGCTTAGTTATCAGCTCTCCTGCCAGTTCTGTCATATCGTCCTCTGACATCTACTGAATATCAGAATACTGGATGTCATCGGGGTCTGGGGCATTGTTGGATGATTTCTTTAGTGTTGTCCGTATGGTGTCAGTTGTAATACTGAAATCGTCACTTAGCTCTGCCTTTTCACAAAACTCTGAAAGTGTCGACTTATCTCTCAGTCTGGCTGCCACATCTTTCTGGTCGGTTTGTTCCAGGTAACGCTGGAGGGGAGCCTGTCCTTTATCTGCATCAGATTTTTGCCATGTCAGATCTGTGCTTAGTATCATTATTTTGTTCTGGCATTGTTTATATCAATCAGCATCATTTAAATTTACAGTCAGAAAGGTTTTGAAGTTCTGCAGCATCATCCCCTACAGCCAGCAGTAAAGCGACTGGATGGATACAGCGAAATATGCCATACAATAAATTGTGCAGTGTAATGTTTGTGTCTCCATTATTTAAATAAATAAATTAAAGCAAATTACAATTTTTTGCCTTATGTGCCTCACTCATATTGTGCTAGACCTCTGTTTTAATAGACCAATCTGCCGTTGATAGATGATGTGGTGATCCTTTATTTCCCAAGACGTTTCCTGATATTCAGGGAAGCCAAAATCAGTTATAAAAATTCCAGCCTGAAATCAAACAAAATCTTTGAGCCATGCACCTGCATACTACACTCCACACCTGCGATTCATTTTAGTTTGTGAAAAACTGCCTCAGAGCTTGAAACACTTAGTGTATGAATAACCTATTTATAGTGAGTAAATAAACAAATTATTTCTCTCATTTACAGTGAGATTGAAGATAGTGACAATAATACTGAAGATTATGACTGTAAGATTGAAAGTAGTGACAGTAAGATTGAAGATAGGGGCAGTAAATTTGAAGGCAGTGATGGTAAGATTAAATGTTGGGGTAATAAGACTGAAGATGATAACACTAATATAGAAGGGGGTGACACTAAGAATAAAGATGGTGACAATAAGATTAAAAGCAGTGAAAAAAAGATTGAAGATTGTGACTGCAAGATTGAAGGTGTGACAATATGATTAAACGTGGTCATACTAAGATTGAAGATAAACACTAAGATTGAAGACAGTGACAATAAGATTGAAGACAATGACAATAAGATTGAAGTTGGTAACACTAAGGTTGATGGTAGAGACAGAAGATTGAAGATGGTGACACTGATATTGATGTTAGTGATGTGAGATTGTTGGTCGTGACAATAAAATTGAAGATTGTGACACTGATATTGAAGACAGTGACATTAAGATTGAAGGTAGTGACAATAAGAATGATGATGTAGACATTAAGATTGTTGATGGTGACATATGTTGTGGTGAAAGACTGAAGATAGTGACATTAAGATTAAAGGTAGTGACAATAAGATTGAAAGTAGTAACAGTAACATTAAACATAGTGAAAACAAGAAATCACAACACTGTTTGTAGGTAATGATTGAGCATAACTGAACTTGTGTATTTTGTTGCAGAATCCACATCAGCAGATGTTATCTACCTGTTTGGTAACAGCCTGACGGTGGCAGATATTGGCCTGTATGTTCTCATCACTCGACTGCATCTTCTGGGCTTGCTGCCTCAGTGCATGCCCACCTCACGATTCCCTCTGACACATCGACACTACACTCTGATGTCGGCTCGGCCCTCCATCACTCGACTGCTCCAGGAGGTGTCACAGCTGAGATACACTCTTCTAGTAGAGGACATTAAAGCTTCAGGAGCTTACTTTGCTCTAGCTTTGGGTACAGGCTTGGTTGTGCTGGCAGCTTATTATTTGATCAAGAAGTTGAAGTCCTAATAGATGGAAACCTGCCCATTCATGTCTGTTCACAGTCATCTGTCAGTGGTAAAACAAAGACAGTTCTATTGTCTATAACCCCACAGTCATTATATTAGGTGAAATCATAGAAGGGGTATTTAGATATTTAGAAAATAAGAACAAGTGTAATAAATCGAATGCAGAGTTAACGAAATGTAAATAACAATAAATGGTTACCAGAAGAGATAAAATCAGAATTGAGGTCATAAAAGAAAAATTAGGCAGAGAACTAATTTTAAATTACATTAAAAAACCGCAAATCAAATGGTTACCCACTTAAGAGAGAATGCCTCTGACACCATACGATAAAAGGCATACACCAAAAAAGGAGAAGAACGTAGAGCATAAGGCAGACTAAGAACGAGATGGAAAGATAACATTAGAGAAACGCTACGCCAGTCTATGGTTGAGATAGCCAGAAGAGCAAGATGTGAAGCCTTGTATCGCCTTCAACACCCAAAGTGGTAAAAAAAGAAAGTGAAGAAGAAAAGGAAAGAACCATTGTCCATCCTTTGAGACAAATTGTGTACTTGGTACAAGCCTTATATGTTTGTAAAATAATTTGCGCTTCTTGAATGGTGTGGTCAAATTTACTTCCCAGATAATTTCCTGGAACCACTTTTAGACAGGTTTGACGTGAGAATGCAGGTCACTTTATGTTTCAACAAGAATGGCCTGATATAAATTGTATACATTTCTAATGAAAACTGTTTGTACATCTTGTTTGGTGAAAAAAAATTGATTGATTTCATGATTTTCCTCAGAATGTTCATTTGCTTGTATGTACACTGTAAGTATGTGTGTTAAGTATACTTATGAACTGGCAGGTAATACAAATACTATTAAGTGTTGAATAATCTCATAAATTAGCCCTGTTCAGTTACATTTGTATTTCTGGTGCCACAGAGACTGGTCACAGTCAGAGCGAGTTGTTAAATATAGGCTTGCTTTAAGCAAGCTTTTTTCATTTCATTTGGTGATTACAGAGTATGGGTATAGTCATTCAATTTTCATTTGTTTTTTGATGCTTTTAACGAATTCCCCAAAGCCACCAACACAGATCTCAGCATTACAGAATGGTACCAGTTTGAGGATGTTTGTATAGTATTTTCTGGTGGTATTCTAGACTAAAATAGCTATGTATCAGTCAACATCAGTAAACATTGGGCATTCTCAGTTTTAGAGTAGTTTCTATGAAGTGTTTCTCATGTTCCAGCTAGGATACAAAGTGCAAGCAACAAACGAACAAACTTTATTTTCAAAGGTTGAAGAATGGATCATGCATTCCAATCAGGATTGTAGATTAGATCACTCAACAACTGATACAACTCTACTAGCAACTGCTATCTACATTAGAGACATGTACAAACATATTAAGTGATGTTTCATCTTTTTTAAATTTTTTTTTTATTAGTGTTGTAAGTATTTATGTATTTATTCTGTAAAAGGGCAGTTGGCCTGTTGTGATGTGGTTTACTAGGCTGTGATATCTGTACTTTTTAGACCAACACACTCAGTTTCAGCAAATTCTTAATTGGTCATCTTCCTTTTATGAGATTGCTTGTTAGGAAGCACTGGGATTGTGTTCTTGCATATGTCTTTAGCTTATTTGAAATTTGTCAAAGGCTTTCTTGTAATTTTTTAGTTACATACTTCAGTTGTATGTAGATAGGATTTTATTTAGAGGTTTCTAGATTTTACTTCAATTGTATGTAGCCATGCTTCTCTTTTGAGGTTTGTAGATTTTACCAAAATTGTGTGTAGCCATAGTTTTTTTTAGTAGTTTCTAGATTTTACTTAATTTGTATGTAGCCATGCTTCTCTTTAGAGGTTTGTAGATTTTACCAAAATTGTGTGTAGCTATAGTTTTCTGTAGTAGTTTCTAGATTTTACTTCAATTGTATGTAGCCATGCTTCTCTTTAGAAGGTTTGTAGATTTTACCAAAATTGTGTGTAGCCATAGTTTTCTTTAGTAGTTTCTAGATTTTACTTCAATTGTATGTAGCCATGCTTCTCTTTAGAGGTTTGTAGATTTTACCAAAATTGTGTGTAGCCATAGTTTTCTTTAGTAGTTTCTAGATTTTACTTCAATTGTATGTAGCCATGATTCTCTTTAGAGGTTTGTAGATTTTACCAAAATTGTGTGTAGACATAGTTTTTTGTAGTAGTTTCTTGATTTTACTTCAATTGTATGTAGCCATGATTCTCTGTAGAGGTTTATAGATTTTACCAAAATTGTGTGCAGCCATAGTTTTCTCTAGTAGTTTCTAGATTTTACTTCAATTGTGTGTAGCCATGATTCTCTTTAGAGGTTTATAGATTTTATCAAAATTGTGTGTAGCCATAGTTTTCTGTAGTAGTTTCTAGATTTTGCTTCAGTTGTATGTAGCCATAGTTTTCTAAAGTAGTTTCCAGATTTTACTTATGTTGTATGTCGCTGTGATTTTTCTATAGTGTTTTTAGATTTCACTTAACTCCTGTGTGGCAGCCGTCATGGTGTAGTGGCTAGACACTTGCCTGTGGATTAGAAAGTCATGGGTTCGAGTCATGATGTAGCCAGATTAGAAAAAAAAAGACCTTTGCTTCCTGGTCGTCCCAGCCTGGACTGGGTAACAGGTGCATGTTTGGTAAGTAAAGGCAGCTGGCGTGATGATGCTGACCACATCACCCACCAAGAGTCGATGGGTCTATAAAATATAGTTCTAGCCCTATATGCCCAATACGCCTGAAGGTGGGGTAAAGAGTTCTTTACTTTACTTAAATTGTATGTAGCCACGATTTTCTTGAAACATTTATAGATTTGTGCATGTTCTCCTATATTTTATCCAATAATAAATGTGTATATAGTATTATATACAATTACACATAGAGTTTTCAAAGACAGAACACTCAAGATATTTTTGACAGTAGAAACAATGATGAGAACAAGAAATAGAGTAGAAGTGTCTTCACCATCAACATCCTATTGTGCAGTTTATATGTTATATGGGTCTCATAGTTGATGCCTCCACTCCAGCGGATGGAATCCAGTCCAGCATCTTTGGTCTCTCTCCTCGTTTGTATTCGGGTGTCTGTTGTGTGTCTTTGTTGCCTCATTTCATTTGTCTCCCACTTCATATCTGTTTTGTGGCTCTCTATCCACTCCACTTTATGATTTGCTAATTATAATCCCCATCTTCTTCTTTATCATGAAACCAGTGGTTGTTCAAACATTTTTCTTATTTCCTCCCTTTCTTGAATTCATCCCATTTAATGTTTATTAGATATGTGTTAGTTTTCTTTAGGCATTTATTTTGTTACTGAAATATTAATAAAAATTATCTGGCTTTCAATGTTTATACTCAGATACACTTTTTTTTAAAAACTAATGCTTACTCAAATGAATGAACACATTAAGTAATATAATTGTGTGATATCAAACTAACACACACTTAGGAAATTAATGTGGCACAGATAATTGTTATTTAGCAAAAAAAAAAAAAAAAAAAAAAAAGCAAATGGGACCCAAACTGCTGAATTTTTTATGTGGCAAAACTAACAGGTATGCATGAAATCGGAAAGTGCCTTTTATCCCCACACTGTAGACTGGGTTATGTCAGTGACAACTGCCACCAGAACTATCCTTAGTGTACATTGCCAGAACAACTTGGTAATCTGGATTTCACAGATGACATTATCCTCCTGTCCCATTCATGAAATCAGATGAAAGATAAAGTTAACATATTCTTGGGAGATCACAACAACTGGGTCTGGAAATCATAGAGGGGAGACTAAATTAATGAGAATGAACCAGGCAAACAATAACCTAGTTTTCCTTGGTGAGACCTCAGTCAGTGGAGAAGTATATCTATGTTGACAGCAATGTAGACAACAGTAGAGATTTGATTTGATTTGATTCAAGAACCGACATCACAGCACTCAGGGCATTCCCATAAGCGCTCCGTCCCCATCTTCAGCAGCCAGCGAAGAGTTCCGATACTAATGGTGCCAGAAACATTCTGATTAAACGTCCGTCTTGCCTTTCCTCTGAGCCTCGAGCATCTGCCAGAACCTCTCATCACTCCCCGCTGCATCAATCTCACCAGACTGGTGATTCATCTGCTCCTCCGAACTGTACACGCTCTCCCACAAGTCACTAACCACGTCTGCCTTATCATGTATCAGTATTTCACCAAGCTGTGCAGAGCCAGCCAGTTTGTCCGCCTGTTAATTTCCCAACGCACCGGCGTGCCCGGTGAAAAAATCCAGACAATACTTTCCACCCGTGTCCGCCGCAACGAAGTATGCCACTCTGCACGAAGCATACCTGTCATGATCTTCCTCAGCATGCTTTCTGAATCAGTTACAATCACGATGTATGTGTATGTCGTGTTCTCTAGCCAGCGGAAAGCTGCAGTGACCGCCTTCAACTCCATTTTTAAGCTGGATGTTGTGGTATCATATGCTAGGCTCTCCTGCACCAAACGTCGACCATTAACTTTTGCTACGAAGCCACAAGCACTTCTTTTGCCTCTTGACACTGAACCATCTGTGTAAATGATCAAATCCTCTGAGCGAGCATTATCATGAATTAACTGCTGAATTTCCCCCTCTGTGGCACCTGCTGGCTAGTCTCTACATTCCTGGCTCAGCGTGATTATGACTCTACACAAGTCTGACTGTTCAGATGGCACTTTGACCCACTCTTCCCCTCGCCTAATGTTCTCAAGGATGCAAACTTGTCTGATTGTGTCTTTTGCCAGAGCCATCCATGACCTCCCTCTTATCAGCCGCTGACCCTTAACTGCACCCAGAGCTTCATGCAGAGGGTGGTCTGTGTCTGCAGCTACCCTGAGATATGACTTTGCCTGCAGCACCTTGTGCCTACCTGCAACCGTCGGCAAACCAAGAATGTATCGCATACACACCACTGGGGTGTCTCTGGTGCAGCCCAGAATGACCCACATAGCAGCATTCTGTATGCGCTCTAGTTTGTCCAT